CAAGACCAAGTGCCACCGAGCTCCCCAGCAACGTTCAGAGCTTGGAAGCACCTCGGTCAGCATAAGATCGAGGCCACTAAGGCAGAGACCTCGACAAACAAGGAGAAAAGACTTCGGTCAACATAAAATTGAGGCCACTAAGGTAGAGACCTCATCCAACAAGGAGCAAAGACCTCGGTCAGTAGAAGATCGAGGCCACTAAGGAAGAGACCTCGGCCAACAAGGAGCAAAGACCTCGTTCAGCACAAGATCGATGCCACTAAGGCAGAGACCTTGGCCAACAAGGAGCAAAGACCTCAATCAACACAAAATTGAGGCCACTAAGGGAGGAACCTCGGCCAACAAGGAACAAAGACCTCAGTCAGTATAAGATCGAGGCCACAAAGGCAGAGACCTCGGCCAACAAGGAGCAAAGACCTCAACAACATGAGATTGAGGCCACTAAGGCAGAGACCTCGACCAACAAGGAGCAAAGACCTCGGTCAGCACAAGATCGAGGCAACTAAGGCAGAGACCTCGGCCAACAAGGAGCAAAGACCTCAATCGGCATAAGATCGAGGCCACTAAGGTAAAGACCTTGACCAACCAGGAGCAAAGACCTCGATCAGCACAAGATCAAGGCCACTAATGCAGATACCTTGGCCAACGAGGAGCAAAAACCTCAATCAACACAAGATCGAGGCCACTAAGGAAGAGACCTCGGCCAACAATGAGCAAAGACCTCGGTCAGCACAAGATCGAGGCCACTAAGGCAGAGACCACGGCCAACAAGGATCAAAGACCTCAGTCAGCATAAGATCGAGGCTACTAAGGAAGAGACCTCGACCAATAAGGAGCAAAGACCTCGGTCAGCACAAGATCGAGGCCACTAAGGTAGAGACCTCGGCCAACAAGGAGTAAAGACCTCGATCAACACAAGATCGAGGCCACTAAGGCAAAGACCTTGGCCAACAAGAACCAAAGACCTCGGTCAACATAAGATCGAGGCCACTAAGGCAGAGACCTCGGCCAACAAGGAGCAAAAACCTCGATCAGCATAAGATCAAGGCCATTAAGGCAGAGACCTCGGCCAACAAGGAGCAAAGACCTCAATCAGCATAAGATCGAGGCCACTAAGTCAAAGATCTCGACCAACAAGGAGCAAATACCTCAATCAGCATAAGATCGAGGCTACTAAGGCAGAGACTTTGGCCAATAAAGCGCAAAAACCTCAGTCAACACAAGATCGAGGCCACTAAGGCAGAGACCTCGGCCAACAAGGAGCAAAAACCTCGATCGGCACAAGATCAAGGCCACTAAGGCAAAGACCTCGGCCAACAAGGAGCAAAGACCTCGGTCAACAAGAAGCAAAGACCTCGATCAGCACAAGATCGAGGCCACTAAGGCAAAGACCTCGGCCAACAAGGAGCAAAGACCTCGGTTAGCATAAGATCGAGGCCACTAAGGTAGAGACCTCAGCCAACAAGGAGCAAAGACTTCATTCAGCACAAGATCGAGGCCACTAAGGCAGATACCTCGGCCAACAAGGAGCAAAGACCTCAGTCAGCATAAGATCGAGGCCACTAAGGGAGAGACCTCAGCCAATAAGGAGCAAAGACCTCGGTCAGTATGAGATTGAGGCCACTAAGGCAGAGACCTCGGCTAACTTCGAGCCACTCAGCCCAAACAATGCGCTCAACCAAACTTCAAGTTCAAGTTCCTCAGCTGAGAACCGAAGAACTCTTCCACACCACACTACGGCCAAGCACTCCTCTCTTCAACTTCGAAACTGGGGGAGTGGTGTTCAGATTCTGAAATTTTGAGTCTAAGTTCCCTAACCAAAGAATGAAGAGCCCTTCCGTAATGCAACACTGCCAAGCATCAGAGAAGCTCAGACCCCGAAGACCAACTAAAAGCTCATCGACGCCTTACCGAAGTAAACGACCACACCATGCCTCGATCGAGCACTCCTCTCCTTGACTCTGGAACTGGGGGAGTGGTGTTCAAATTCCAAAATTATAATTCTCGAAATTCCGTAGCCGACGACCGAATAACTCTTTAGCCGCATCCCGCATTGCATGGACTCCGAGCTCGGACCAGCATCGAGGAATACTAAGTGGACCATACGTTCAACCAAGACTACAACTTGGAATTCCTCAACCAAGAATTAAAGCACCCTACTGCACTACACCTTGGCCAAGCACTTCATTCATCGACTTCAAAACTAGGGGAGTGGTGTTTGGGTCATGGTCGAGCTGGTCTTAAATGCCACATGGCCGCCCAGTCACCTCGGCCACGTCAGCACCACCCGGCCAGCTCCGCGGCATACATCGACTCCGCAGCCATGACCGCGCTACGCTATCTCCGTAGCCCCCACCTTATCCTCTCAACCACGTCAGCCCCACACCACGCAGATAAGCACAACCAAGAACAGAAGGAATGAGGACAACTCCACTGGGGATTACGACTCTATCTCAAAGACCTCAACAATTAACCTCATCCCGACAACCCTAGAAGCCTAATCCGACCAGGACACGGACCTTCGGCTATAAAATATTGAAAGAAGAATAAAATATATTAATTTAAATAAAGTAAAAACAAAAAATATAGGTATTTTTTTTATTATTTTCATCATATATATGCATGTTTTTTATAAAAAAAAAATAAATAATGTAACAAATTTATAAAAACATAATATAAAAAATATATTTATAAATAAATAAATAACATATATATATTTATTTATAAATATATAATATATATCAGATCAGATCTTCTCAGGTCGGATAGGGGGTGATCCGGATCTGATCTGATTTCTGATTGGAACCTATAATCCAATCTGAAGATCTAAACAGGTGTGATACAAATTCGACCATGATCCATCCTATTTGCACCCCTAGAGCTCTTATTTATTTATGGAAAACATGGAAAGTTGTAAAGATCCAGCTCTTGGTCCCAAGAAAATTTTTTTGAAACTTATCATTTGCTTGTGATCATTTTAAACGTGTATTGGATGTTAAAGCATATAAACTTGGAATTTGCAACTATAAACCAAGCAAAAGCTTGGGTTGTGTAGGAAGCCCATAATTTAACTTTGAATTTCAGGGAATCATCACCGAGGGCGATTCAAAACTGGTGGATCTTCTACCATTTGTGTCTTGCAAGAACTTGTGGATCTTCTACCATTACGATACGCATGGACAGATTAAGGGAAATCAAATAAATCTCAAATAACATATCAATAACATTAAACATAAGTTGTAAATGACAACAAATAAGCTATATACACATGAGAAACACATACCATGTGAAGTGTAGAAAATTCCACCCGTGCCCGATATCAGTATGACTATAAAAACCTTGGCCAGTAATAGCACACTAAGATTAAGTTGGCTTAAAATTTTGGATTAAGATTAGATTTTTCTGAAGCTTTTCTTGTTAATTTATAGATCTATTGGTGAAGTTATCATGTGATACTAACTTCTTGCTACGGATTACCTCATAAAAACTACTAAGGTATGTCTTTCTCATGTTTCTACTGTTATACATTATGTTTATATGCATTTGAATCAGTGCTGTAGGACACCCAGACTGAATAGTCAAAGAGATGACCAGTGACCTCTTCCAGGCCCACTTAAATGACAGTTTTCACGGTTTGAATGGGCTAACTACCGATTATGTCCAATCTAGGTATTGCAATATTGATTTGAACTTTAAAATTAATATTGTTGATGCATTTTTTAGATTTATATAAGGATTAAAGTATCAGTGTCGAGTATTGTATCGGATAAATTGGATACGGATACGAATACGCTTTGGAAATGTATAGATACAAACGAAAAATTTGGATACATCAGGGAGATACATGCAGATTTCATAAATACATTAATAACACTAAATTTATGATCAAATAACTATAGATAATGTATAAATATATAAAAAATATATATTTAATGGTGTACATAAAAATATATTATAATTAATAGCAGAATGCACATATATCATACAATGCATTAATTAAGAGTCCAAGATGGACTTATTATATTTATCCTAATTATTATATCAATTATTTTTTATTTTATTATTTTTACATTTTAGCATTAACAAAAAAAGTTAACCAAATATTAATAATTTATAAAAATACATAATTTTAACTTAAAATATATAAAGTTGATTGAAATTTCTAAGTTATATATCATATGCAAATTCATAATTTTTAATTATTAAAATAATTATTTCATTATTAAAATTTTTATTTGTATAATTTTTTTAAATTAAAAATCAATTTTTCATATAAATGTAAATTAGTGGATTTGATAAATTCAAATTAATAGTATATTCTTGAATATTTTGCGAACAGATTTTATTTTTTATAAATAATAAATATGTTGTCATTTAATGCAAATTAAAATATTAATTAATAATTACAAAAATATATAAATTTTGTAAAATATATATCATGTGCATATTTATAAAATTTAAGTAGCAAGGTAATTATTCTATTATTAATATTTTATTTGTATAAATTTCTTGAGATTAAAATCTTTTGATGTAAATATTTTTTTTTTGGTACTCCTTTTGATGCAAATATAGAATTGGTAGATTATTTAATCCATTTGTTTATAAAATACAAATTTTAAACATTATTTATTTTAATTTTTAGTTGGGGTTGTTAAACATAAATATTGATTATTTATTTGGATAGATATTAATAAAAATTGTATTATTTCGTTAAATATCACAAAACATGGCATGGCCAAATGGTTTGACGGATAGTTTAAGGCTTTCAACGCCATGTGCGCGGTGTTCTAGGTTCAAATCATGCTATTAGCAATGTTTGCATTTTTAATTGATGATGTGTATCGATTGGTATCAGTGCGTATTGGCCGATACAATGCAGTATGGGCCGATATGCACTTATATCGGTCCAATACACAGGATTTATGGGATACATTTGGATTTATGTAAGTTTCTCTAATGTATCAATGTATATCTTAATTTTTCCAATTGTATGCATGCAATTCTAAAATGTATCCTGATGCCTCTAAAAGCTGTGGTATTATCTGTGATACAAATATTTTGAACCTTGGGATGTGCATTCATGTAGATTCGGGAAACCAAATTGCAAACCATCAAGTATTTGACCTTCAACTTTTCCATCCCCCACAGATTCAGAAACCGATTTTTTAAAATTATGTTCCTTTGCTTTTACAGGGTTAGTAGGAAGAAGGTAGCTGGTATTCAGCAAAGGCACCTCAGAATAACATCACCTGCCAAAACATTTCAATATTGAAGATGCAAGAGTCGAAGAAAGAAACTTCAATCCAGCAGATCCTCCAGGGAAGTAAGAAATAGCATAATAGGAAAGTGCAACGACCTAGCCAAAATTAGAAATGATCAAGTTCCACATTAGGTCAGAATACACTAAGCAAAAATTAGAGATGTCCTACACTAGGTCTCCAATAATAACAAATACCCACCTTCAGGTTTCTAAAACTACCATCTACCGAACTGTAATTTCAGTAACATGGGGTGATGTTCTGTTATTATTGGAAACCCTAGGAAGTGCATACGTAGTTTACCGTATTACTAAAATATAATCTTCTTTTCCCTTCAGAACAAGGGTACAGAATTTTTTTTTTTAGAATAGGTCATTGCTGAGGGGTAAAAATTAAACAATGCAAAGACAGTTATAAAACTGTAATGAGGGGCTCTAGACCCAATGTGTAGTTATAAGATTTTTTTAATTATTGCTATCTATTTGGTCAGCTAATGGCCATGTAGTCATCTCTCTCTGTCTACCCTTTGATTATGGGAGTTTTGTCTTTCACAAATCATGCACAAGTCCATCTTGGTATTAATGATCAAAAAAGGCAGTGAAATGTGGGAGAGATTGAGATAGCAAAGGAAAATAAAAGATACAAGTATAAGTGACAGCAAAGTTGTAAAAATGGTACCATGGATAAAACACAAATTTTATACACAAACAAACTTCTCAAATTTTTCCTTTAAACTCACACTAGCATGAACATAATCATCAATTAATATTAAAGAAAAGAAATGCTAAAGATTTGAATGCATAAAATGGAAAGAGATGGATTTAATACCTGTAACACAGAAAAGAGGACGGATAGAATGTAACTGTGAAGCACCATAGAAACATAGATGGTACCAACCATACTGCCAATGAATACCAGTGTAAAGGGCAGCCTCTGGGGGGATAATGTAAAACCAGATTAATATTATACTTGAATTAAACCAAATTACCCAAATATGTCTGGATAGAGAAGACACCAAGATAAGATACCTCTTTTGATGACATGTGTGAAAGCTGATTCCTTGGACCTTTCAGAGCAAAAAATGACCCAATGATGAGGGCACAACCAAGAGTAAAGCAGATGGCAAATTTCTGAGGCATCAGCACCATAACTGGGAGGAACATGGTGAAAGCAATGAAAATGAAAAATACTCCAGTTGCCAACAGTAAACCAAAATACATGAGAGATTTTCCAGAAGGGACATTGCTAGTAGCAGACTGAAAGCTCCCAGGCAAATCTCTCACTCCTTTTGAAACCCTGAAAGTATCAAACAAAGAAAATTCAGCCTGCATTCCCATGGCAACAATCAGATTAGCTAACAAACTAATGCACGAAACTCCAACTTATAGTATTCAAACTTCCAGGAGAAAGAAGATCTATTGAAATTCTGTTACTGTCTCAAAAAATGAAGATCAAAGCAGGCCTGAGAGGAAAAGTTTTTTAGTCATCCCAACAGTTTGGGTGCATAAATCCTATTCCAAAATCTTAGTATTTTTTTTCTATCATTACCTATTCTGTTACAGGGCTGCAAATATTGGGTAGGTAGATACAAATTTGATTTGTTTATATTCAAATTTGCAATTGGATATTGAATAGTATACATAAATTAAACTAGAAATGATCAAAATATTTCAATTCATGAATGAATTGAAAATTACTTGTATGAAACTTGAACCTATTACAGTTCAAATGGTGTTTAGTATCATGGTGGGTTGAAGTTTCAAAATTTGTACTTGATTTATGGCATTTGAGTTTGAAAAGCTAAGCTGTTCTGACCATAATTCAATGCACAATTGTTTATTACAGACTCAAACATGTAATTTTTACGATCATGATTCTAGTATGGGAAAGTCAAAACACCTGAATGGTGCTTACATGGAAGGTTAAAGATGAACACAACACTACGGTACCAAACATTCCCTAATTAAAACACAACATCAAACCAACATTACTAATAGATACAATATAAACTTTAAGTATATTGTCATGAAATATTTTTTGATATTTTATATTGTCATGAAATATTTCAACCAATTCTAATTGCATTATGTTGGATTAGACAGGGGTTGATCCATATTTGATCCAATTATAAACATATCAAATTCGAGTTCAAATTCAGACAATTGAATACTATTTGCAACTTTATTCCATTGTCTTATTCTATCTTTTTACACAGTTATCTTTTGAATAATAATAATAAAGAATAGCATACATCTCATCTCTTCCCACACCTGCAGATGTTACACCAATCTGTGCAAACAAGTGGGCATAGACATTCTGTTATACCAAAGAATGATCCTTGTAACAAATGACAGAAATTCATAGAAAAGGAAGAATGAGGGAAACCAACACGTGCAGTCTTAAGTGGATGCTACATATAGCTAAGCCGAGACAGGCAACAAGCTTGGTTTTTAATTTTTACGATCAATAGGCAGCTAACCTAGTTAAACCAGATTATAATCTCAAAAGTATTTCAAGCAGAAGGCTTTGAATAATGCAAGGACATTATTCTGAAGCAAGAAATTATTCATATACATTCTCAGGCTTGAGCTTTTAAAAAAAATATTATAGTATGATTAGATGTTTACTCTTTGCTTGATGCTTAATCTTCCCTTTTTTAATAGGTGCGTAATCTTCCCTTCATTAACCGACCAAATGTCATTACCACTTTGATCTCTTAGAGAATGCTTGTACCACATTAAATCTAGAATACAGACATATAAAGATTTAACTTTCAAAAATATGATAACATTTACATAAGGAAGTATATTCAGGCATCATCCTGTCCTGCTCCTAACCCGTATTCACTTCCAAACCTAACATACCAACAGTATGCACTGCTTTATGAAATGTGAGTCTCATGGAAAAACAAGACTAATCAATTCACCAGGACCAAATCTGCTATCTTCTACCAGTTCAGCCCTCGTATCCGGCGGTTCAAATAAGTGAATAACAATTATGAATTATCTAGCAAGACAAAAATGGAGAGTGTACATCTTGATCTACCTTGAATTCTAAGACGAACAAGGTAAGCATCAGCCCAGATTAAAAGAAAACAAGAAAAGATGGAGATTGGGTACAACAGGGGGGAAGAAGAAGAAGCAGAAGAGGTCGAAGTGTTAGTGGCCATGGAGACAAAAGGAGACCAGGATGAGGCCCCTCTGATACCATGTATCAGTATAAGACGGTGGGTAAGGGAATGATAAACTGAAAACCTAATATCTGAGCAGCAGTTTCAGAGTCGCGCTTACACGTTGAAAGTCCCAGTGACCTTATCATTGGCAGTCCTGACTGCGGCCTCGAGATCGAAACCTAGATTAGACGATCCGCTGTCTTCCGAAGCTTTGGAGGCTGCATAAGAGTTCCAATCAGCGAGCAGAGACGAGGGTTTCTGCTGATCGGTGCCACTCGGCCCCCCCATGAACCAAGCTTGAGCGGTTTTCTGCATAACTTGATGACTAAACGATGACGGAAACGAATCCTCGATTTCGGACCGGAAAGCAGCAGCAATCGGAATTACTTTAACCCGTATAAGTTGGCTGATGCCTCTTCCTACTTTCTGCCATCTATGGCGTCCTGTTGAACTGTCGGTCGGAAGTTTAATTTTAATTTTGGGAATTTACAATTGAACGTGAAGGAATGTCTTTTTTCTACAACTAGCGGAGGGCCCTGACTTAACAAAATTGCAATTTCTATTTGCTACATTATAAAATACAATGGTTTCTTAACAAAAAAAACTTGTAATTATAAGCATTCTTGAAAGTCGTATAAAAATTTAAATGACATCAGCATATACTCGTTTTTTAAATATTGTTTGAACAAAGTATCTCATATAAAAAATACGATCATACAGTGATAGCATCGAGAACTTCTAATTAATTCAGACAATAGCACTCGGTTCCATTTACCCCAAATCCAATTCTTGGCAAAAAATCGTTGAATCACTTAATAATTCGTTGACTCAAGTGATCAAACCATTGATCCATTTAACGTTTTTTGGCCATTTTTTTATGTTAGAACAGGCCATCCGTTTGAATCGGACGATCGAACCATCAATTTAGAAACCAGTGGTTAGAACAGTTCCATTTCTGGGTCGTTTTTTTCTAGATGTCAATAATTAGATGAAATAACTTTGTAGTCATAGCCATGGGGACATTGCAAGGGATTCCAAAACCTTGAAAGATAAATCCAAAGTGACCTTAAACACAAAAAAAAAAAAAAATGGTGGTAAATCTACTAAACTAGAAAAGCCAAGGAAAAAAAAATCAGAAAATCGAGTCCAAAGTTCCACTTTGAGATGGAGCTAAACATTTCAGCCTAGGCAACCAGTTCCGTTTTATCCCAGTCCCGATCCCTGGCCAAAAACTGTTGAACTAATCAATGACCCATTGACTCGAGCGATCGAACCATCAACCCGTTGACTCATTCAATGGTTTTTGGTTGTTTTTCTTTTATTTTTTTTTTAATTTTTGTTGTTAGAACGGGTTGTCCGTTCAAACTGGACGGTCAAACTGTCAACCCAAAAATTGGTGGCCAGAACGGTTCCGTTTTTAGTTCATATGAGTCACATGCTCAAATGACATAACACGTATGGTACTACTTAATAGACCTCACACACTCAATTTTTTTCCTGTAATTTTTGTTACCAGAACGGGCCATCCGTTCGAATCGGATGATCGAACTGCCACTTTTTTTTTTTAATTGGGAATCATCCAAGCAACCAGTTCCGTTTTACATCAATCCAAGTCTCTGGCAAAAAACCATTGAATCGGTCAACAACCCATTGACCTGAGCGGTCGAACCATCGACCCGTTCAATGGTTTTGGTCATTTTTTATTTTTTTTAATTTGTATTGATAGAACGGGTTGTCCATTTGACCCAAACGGTTGAAGTCGACCCAAAAACTGGTGGCCAGAATGGTTCCGTTTTTGGGTCGTATGAGTCACGCACTCGAATGACATAACACGTATGATATTGCTTAATGGACCTTACACTCTCAATTTTTTCCCTATAATTTTTGTTATTAAAACAGGCTGTCCATTCGAATCGTCAACCCGAAAACTGGTGGCCATAATGGTTTTATAATTTTTTGCTTGTAATTTTATTGTCAGAATAAGCCATTTGTTCGAGCCATCGACCTGAAACCAATGGCAAAAGGGGAGACCACCCCTATCCCTTGAATATATATATAAAAGATATAAGATAGAAATACATTCTAATGACAGGGGTATAAATGGAATAATAAAATCAGGGTCCTTTGACGATAACGATAACATTGAACCATTCTTATTTTTATTAATGGGTAAGAAATGGCGATTTCATGGTAAGATTTTTATAAGGGAAAATTACAAATTAGTACTTTTTACTTTGGCTTAATTTTATTTTGGTCCCACAACTTCAAAACATACCAACGAATACCTAAATTTCCAAAAACTTGCCAACTAAATGCCTAGGGTGTCATCTAATTTTCTTTATCAATCATCTAAATACTTTTCTTGAGAAGTCTAAACCATTGCTATTCTTTCTCTCTTCTCTCTTTATCTAATGTGTTCCCACTCCCATGCCTTGGCTAAATGACTGCAAGCATTACCATTTTCTTGCAAAACTTATACCTTTGTTTCATCTTATTGAAGAAGAAAATAATGAACATTATTTTATTTTGAAGGGTAATTTTGATATTTTCAAAAGTTTTTAACTGCACATGATGTTATGTAATACACATTTTGAAGGGTAGTTTTGTTTCATGTGTATCACATAACATCATGTGATGCACATAACTAATAGTTGTTAATGATAAGTACTAAGCTGGCACATTTTGAAAGTTTAGATACTGAATTGACATATTTTAAAGTTTGGGGACTAAAGCGAGACTATACCCAAAGTATAAGGTACTAATCTACAATTTTCTTTTTTATAAATACTAAAAAATCCTCCCCTATCATTTGTTGAAAGACTTGAAACTCCCTTATCAGAATACATTATACAGCATGTCATATTTGAGGGAATGCATAAATGATTCCTTTACCCTACCCTTAAGTATTCATTGAAATTTCAAAACATGTTGAAAGATTTGAACTTAGGGCATGATGCATAATGTTTTGAAGCCTACAACCACCATTACAAATTTTCAAAACACCTCGTTATATCTGATAGAAGTAGAACAAAATAACATTTTTAGGTAATATAGAAGTAGCTTCGCTCCATTCCACACCAAGGTTCAAAATACCGATACGCGCCCTCTAGGGCTGTTTGTTGGGAGTTTTCACTGGTTCAGGGGGTAGATGGACATTAAACCAATCCCTCTGAAGCAGATTTGAAAAAAAAAAACTATCAATACTACCCGATATGCCTCTACCGATGTATTGGGCGTATCAATATTTTGAACCTTGCGCCATGCTATAATATAGCTAGTACGTTTTTATCCATTAGAAAGTGGTACATGAATATACCTAGACCTGATGGGCTAAATACTTTTTTTTTTTTAAATACAAGATAATAATTGAGGAATCGATTAAGGAAACTGTCGAGGCCTTTTTCCACTCTAGGAAAATGACTAGGGTGGGATTAGCAGTGGCAATTGGGTGGGTTAGGTTGGGTTTGGTTTGGGTTGAGCTTCAACCCAACCCACTAACCCACCAATTCATTAATGACCCAATTATATAAAATTAAATGGGTTAGGTTCAACCCTAACCCATTTTGACCCAATCCAATCTGCCCAAACCCATTAATCTTATATTTATGTACTTAAAAAAAAAAAACTAACTCTCTCTTGAAAAATAAGTTGGTCATCGCTTGATGGTAATAGTAGTTGCTATTTACACAAGAGGTGAAGGTTCAAATCACATTACATGCATGTTATTTTTACACAAGCAGCGAAGCCATTTGACTATGTTTGGGTTTTGGGTTTGACTGAACTACTTATGTTCAAACCGGCCAGACCAACTTGAACTATCTAATTGGATTGTCTTTGAGCTAATCACATCAAGAGTTGTTGGACCATTTGGATTCAAATCAATCCAGTCGGACCAGACTAGACTAGTTCAATCAATGGTGAATTGACTTGGACCAGCCCATATCTAATTGGATTGTCTTTGAGCTAATCACATCAAGAGTTGTTGGACCATTTGGATTCARATCAAYCCAGTCGRACCAGACTAGACTAGTTCAATCAATGGTGAATTGACTTGGACCAGCCCATATCAGGTTTTGTGCACGGGTTTGAGACCAAACTGACTGGCCCGAAGTGGGTCAAGGGAAGTAAATTAGACTTGTCCAGATTCGGGTCAGGTTGTACAAATACAAGCCAGGTCGGACGATCCAAATCAAGCCAAAGCAAGTGGGCGAATTTTAGGTCAGGTCAAACTGAACCATCATGTCTGGACTGTTTTGGATTCAAGTTGACTGTATCGGCCTACTTTGGGTCAGGTTGAGGTTCAGACTAGGCTGACCGATCCAAATGAACCGAACTGAGGTGATCAGGTTTGTTCATATTTAGACCAAGTTGAGCTAGTCCGGACTCGGGTCTAGTTCATTTGGATTTGAAGTGTGCTGATTTGAGACAAAACTAATTTTAGTCAATAATTAATAATGGATGATCAACCCATTTCCAACCCACCAAGTAAATGGGTGGGTTCGACGGGTTGGGTGAAAAATTGCCACCCCCAAGTGGGATGCCTAGTGACCAATTCAAATACAAACCATTTGCATACTTGGAGAGAAGAAAATCAAATAGGAACTTGGATTCAATCCTCACAAGACCATGCTCACACCATATTCACAGCCAAGAATTTTTTATGAGTGGATTGGGGGGGGGGGAGAATGAATATGGATGGCCATTGAAGAAGCCAACCATCATTGGGGTGAGGGGAGTGAGGGAGAGAGAGAGAATATACATGAAGAGTGGCGCAGCTTATATATTATTCATTGAAAGATATTCCCAATACACAAGTGAGTATAATATGAGCATGGTCTTGTGACGACTGAATCTGATGTCATCAAACAACTGATTAAGGCCAATTTAGGTCATGAGATTCTTTTTTTTTTTCTTTTTTCTTTTTGATGAACAGATTTATATTTTTAATGAACACATGAGACCAAATGCTAACCATTATTAACCAAGTCTAAATTAGTACAAAAGTACCCTTTCTTATGATAGAGATAAGAAATTTATAGGTGGTTGTAGGACTAATCAAACACGTTGACTAAATGTTTGTGTAAGGGCTCAAAATGCCTATCGACGCACTCACTCTAATCAATAAAAGGGATGAACCCTGATAAATATGTAGGTCGAATCCTCGAATCTCGGGTCAAGGTCTAGTTTTGTAAAACTTGGTTATCTTGGTTGGTGACATATTTGGCATGATCTGGTTTGATCACACAAGGAACATTCCATTTTTATTGAGTGCTGAATTTAGCAGGAAACAAAACAACTCTGATAATCAGAGTTAGGAAAAAGAGAAGAATAAATATGTTAGATAGTACTGAAATAAATGGCCACACAGCTTTTATTAGCAGTGGAAGATTAATATAATCTTGTATGAGAATGAAGGAAACCATCGAGACATATTGAAGTTTTCCATATGGAGAGAAGAAAAAATGTCCACACAGATCATATTATATGGTGGTTTCCTAAATGTATGGGAAAAACTCTGCAGAAAATCCTGAAGCATGGAGCAGTCTAAAAATGTTGACGGTACTGAAATGAATACCTTTTCAAGGTGGTTACAATTACAAAATTACAGGAAACAAAGCAACTCTGATAATAAAACATGACTGCGCAATGCTTTAGATGGGAAAAAGACAGAGATATACACTTCCGACTGGAACTTCAGGACCTCAAAGAAATGACATTAAGCTTCTTAAAGAACAATCTCAACATTTTTGGCTTCTTTCTAGGATTTGATAAATAACTCAGAACTATGTAAACATATCTTACAAAAGCCAACTCTGATTGTAATACTGGTATAAGCTCATAGCACCTTCAGAAGCTGTACCTCAAATACCAAAGGTTCATTTGCATGAGAAAGAAGGCTACGTCGAGGACCAAACTACAATCAACAACCATAATACAGAACAAATTAGTATTATTTATGGCAAATCAGTGCCTTTTCATTGTTATATACAGTGGCTTTTTGTTGATCTAATGAATGCAGATATTACTGGTAGCCATTAAGGGCTACCACTAGAAGACTACAGATTAATGAGAAACAAGACAGAAAGGACAAAACCTCATCAGGGATTGGTTTCAAGTTTTCATTTATGTATCCAACAGTAGGAGGTATTAATGCTCTTCTCTTCCCTGCAAAGTAAACCATAAAAGATTAAGTCGTATAAGTAATTCCTAATGAAGAAAAGGTATATGTATATAAAAAATAATAGCTCTTAAGGTTTTTGAAATGAACAGGTCTTCTGAAGAACAGTTATTTTAGTCCTTGACTCTTCGGTTTCATTTAATTGTAAAAAATTGTTTGTCTGGTAGGAAAGGAATATATGAAGTATATTCACGGCACTCCTCTCTAACTGCAATTGGCAGATATGCCACTGACCCACACCAATAAGCACCCCTTGGTTGGAAGACAAGGTAGCAATATATAAGCAACCTCAGAGCTATGCACCACTAAGATGTTAGCTAGTAGTATGATACTGAATGCTATGAGATATATAGCTATAAATCTTACCTCCAACCCTCATGCCAATCAAGACCTCCTTCAGGCCCTCTATTATCTGTTAAAATAGGGCAATATAAATTATTAGAACTTTAAGTGTGATCTTAAACTAATGTAAAGTTGTAGAATTGATTTTCTAGATGAGAGGATTGTATATCATAATATAAAAGCTGGAGAGTACATGAAAGGATGTATACTGATGTACAATACACAGAAAAGATTTCACCCACTATAAATCCTGGTAATCAGGGTGGCAGGTATGCCAGGTACTTGGGTAATAAACCCATTGCTATCCTTACAACCATTCCCAACAAGTTTTTTTCCTTTTTTTATTGGAAGCTTGGTGCCAATCCCAACAAGTTTTGCTAATACATTACTGAGTAAGTCCGGGTGATTGCAACATTTCATGCAGCTAAACAGCCATGTGAGCACCTTGTGTCAGACCCAAAAATCAGGCATTCTGTTTTAACAAGTTAGATTAGTTAAAGAGTGTCTAGTATTTAGTTTGGATTATAGTTCGATCCAAACCAACCTGGACTATATGCACTTAGTAATGACATTAAGTTGGCTGGGTTAGGGTGGAGAGTGGCAGTTTGGCACTTCAGTTTGGGTTCTAGGTCGATCCAGTCCAACTTGGCATGCAGGTGTCCTAGGAACGGTGCATGCTGGGATCAAATCTACCTCATTAACAGAGGATAGTGAAAGGAAACAGTGGGAGAATTTCAGGCTTTAAATCACTTTGCCACTTCAAAGATTAATAGATCCTTCAACATTCTTTGCTAAACAACCTGACTAACAGTCCTGCTCCCACAGCACCCCCACCCACAAACATACACATACAAAAACATATATACAAACTTAGCAAGACAGCCTGGACTAGATGAGCCTGCTAACATACTAACAATCATCATATCTGTAATATCTGTAATATCTGTATATACCACCCGCTAACTTTTCTTTCCTCTTACCTGTGGACTGCTGGTTCCATGTTGTTCCTCTGCTATCACATAGGAAGGTAATGTCACCAATAACAATGACGTCCATGAAATTAAAAAAATGATCACCATCATTATTAGTTGGTTAATGGAGCTAGACAACCACTTCACAAAGACTCTAAAGTTAGCTGCTCTACTGCTTTACAAAAATTACAAAGTATTTTAAATTTACTTTAGACTTTAACAGAAATAAGTAAAAATATTCTAATTTCTAAAATGCTTTCTGATATATAAAAAGTTAGAAATTCCATGTCCTGGATTCAAATTAAAAAAAAGGGTAAAATACAAAAACCACCCCTGAAGTTTCTGACAATCATAAAAACCTCCCCTATAGTTTCTGACAATCATAAAACCTCCCCTATAGTTTCATTTTAACAAATACCTCCCTGAACTTTTGAGCAAGGTTTTTAAAACCGAACCGGACAACGAACTGGTCAGGGGTCCAGTTCCCAGGTCGGACAGTCCGACCGTTTGAATCGAATGGATGGTCTGTTGTGACAAAAAAATAAAATAAAAATAAAACGGCCAAAACCGTTGACGGTTCGAACGGTTCAACCGCCCGAGTCAGCAGTTTGCTGACCAAATCAACGGTTTTTGGCGAAATAACAGTTCTGGGGTAAAACAGAACCAGTCACCTGATGAGATCCCAGTTTTTCCGGTCTGGTCTAGTTTTGAAAACCTTGCTTTTGAGAAACTCGACAAAAACCTCCCTTTTTTCCAAATACCCATTCTACCCTTTTATAAATTATTTTGCATACAAAATTACTGAAATAACGCTATTTTAACTCGACAAAAACGTTAGAAGATGACCGTTAAAGGAGGCTTTTGTCAAATTAAAACATGGTCATTTCAGTAAAACTGGTACACCAGTCTAACATTTTCTGTCTGGGAAGGTGATGAAAGGAGGTTTTTGTCAAGTTTCTCAAAAGTTCAGGAGAGGTATTTGTTAAAATGAAACTATAGGGGAGGTTTCTATATTTTACCCTAAAAATAGTACTTTTTTTACCATAAATCTTAATACAGAGATAATAAGGGCACAAGTCATCAAACCTGATGAGGGCAGATTTGGCCCTCCACTGACATCATGACACATGGCATATCAAAACAGCTGGACTACATCCTAGCATCACCTAGGCAACAACTTGCCTTAGCCAAAATGGGGTCCCAGCTGGCGACCTGCCTCTGCCGCCGACCCGGTGACCTACTTCTACTGCCGACCTGGAGACCTGCTTCTGCCGCCGACCTAGAGACCTACCTCAGCCGTCGACCTGGCGATCTACTTTTATCACCGACCTAGCGACCTACCTCTGCCGCCGACATTGCGACCTAGCGACCTGCCTCTGTCGCCGACCTGGTGACCTACTTTTGCTACCGACCTAGAGACCTGCCTTTGCCGTTGACTTGGCGATCTACTTCTATCGCCGACCTGGCGACTTGGCGATCTGCCTTTATCGCCGACCTGGCGACCTGGCGACCTGCCTTTATCGCCAACCTGGTGACCTACCTTCTAGAAGCTTGCTAGTTGTCTCCGAACCTTTCGGGATCATGCTGCGTAACTGTAGGCTTTATCCTCATCCCGCTCGAATCGGAGGGAAACAGTAAGCCTTATTAACAGGCACGTTATCCTCCTTCCAAAGCGGAATGGACCTCTACGTCGTGGGCCGAGGATTCTGGGAGCGTTTCGCAAAACCCACGGCAGCCCAACTATATAAGGGTATCAGCCCCTGAGACCTAGGTAGATGCACAATTTTTAGTTCTCGCAGCTCTCCAGCTCTCTCACATTTAGCTATCTTAAATCTCCGATTCGCTAACTTAAGCATCGGAGTGCCCACCCCGGGTAAAGCAACCCGGGCACTCTTTCACTGTTTCCTTGCAGGTCGCATTAGAGTCACCTCTCCAGCTTGTCACCATTTAGCTAGGCATCAGAGCCACCTCTCCAGCTCGTCACCACTCAATTAGGCATCAAAGCCACCTCTCCAGCTCGTCACCATTCAACTAGGCGTCCAAGCTACCTTCCAGGTAGGAACCATTCAGCTAGGCGTCCAAGCCACCTTCCAGGTAGGGATTATTCAGTCAGGCATCTGAGTTACTAGCCAGCCGGGAGCTGCCAAAATGCGCATCATCAATTGGCGCCGTCGGTTGGAAACGCTACAAAAGGCTATGTTCTCACCCGATTCTTGAGCCTCAAGTAATAACATCTTCAAGCAACAACAATAGCGCTTGATCGAAAGAACCCCCTAGGGGGGCAGAAGCAAAATGATTAACCCAAACGAGTTCTTGTAGTCTTGCCCGGACAGAATATCCCCAATTGTGAGGCCACTCCCATATGTCGAGCTCTACGTGCTCTCTGCGAGAATTGACAGCCAATAGAATGTGAGGCCACCCCACAGCTTGAGCCCTCCGTGGTTCTCGTGGGAGTTGATAGCCAACAAACTATGAGGTCGCTCCGCAGATTGAGCCCTCCATGCTTTACATGGGAGTTGATGACCAGCAAGTTGTGGAGCCGCCCTTGCAAGTCAATCTTGCTGAGGTGATGAGGTGTTTGTAGGCCGAGGTGCTGAGAGCAAAACTAGACTGTCAAAATTCCGACGACTTGGCGACCTGGAGACCTACTCCCACCGACCTAGCGATCTGCCTCTACCGCCGAGATGGCGACCTACTTCCGCCGACCTAGCGACACACATAATCAGCCCGAACGAGCCTTGTTTGTGAGGTCGCCCCTACAGGTCGAGCCTTCCATGGCTCCCGCAGGAGTCGGAGGCTAACAGACTGCAGTCGCCCTTACGGGTTGAGCCTTTCAAGGTTCCCATGCGAACTAGCAAACTGCAGTTAGTAAAGCTGCCGCCGCAAGTTGAGCTCCTTGTGGCTTATCGTAGAAGTGGACGACCAACACCTTAGAGGACTGACACAGTGCAGCCGTGACACCGACCCGCTATTTAAATTCCAACATCAACACACATATCGCAAGGGGAAGCCAAACCGCTTTCAGCATCAAGAAACCCTAAGCCGACCTTAAAATATGTTGGTAACAGGCCAAAGGACCTACAACGAAGCACGAATCTACTCCCTTCGTTGAGCTGATCTCAGCTTGGGAGTGGGGAGCAATTGATGAGGGCAGATTTGGCCCTCCACTGACATCATGACACATGGCATATCAGAACAGCTGGACTACATCCCAGCATCACCTAGGCGGCAACTTGCCTTAGCCAAAATGGGGTCCTAGCTGGCGACCTGCCTCTGCCGCCGACTTGGTGACCTACTTCTACTGCCGACCTGGCGACCCACCTCTACTGCCGATCTGGCAATCTACTTCTATCGCCGACTTGGCGACTTGGCGATCTGTCTCTATTGCCAACCTGGCGACCTACCTTTCTAGAAGCTTGCTAGTTGTCTCCGAACCTTTTGGGATCACACCGCGTAATTGTAGGCCTTATCCTCATCCTGCCCGAATCGGAGGGAAACGATAAGCCTTATTAACTGGCACATTATCCTCCTTCCAAAGCGGAACGGACCTCTACGTCGTGGGCCGAGGATTTTGGGAGCGTTTTCGAGACCCACGACAACCCAACTATATAAGGGCATCGGCCCCTGAGATCCAGGTAGATGCGCAATTTTTAGTTCTCGCAGCTCTCCAGCTCTCTCACATTTAGCTATCTTAAAATATCTTATTCACTAACTTAAGCATCAGAGTGCCCACCCCGGGTAAAGCAANGCAATTTTTAGTTCTCGCAGCTCTCCAGCTCTCTCACATTTAGCTATCTTAAAATATCTTATTCACTAACTTAAGCATCGGAGTGCCCACCCTGAGTAAAGCAAGCCGGGCACTCTGACATTGTTTCCTTGCAGGTCGCATTAGAGCCACCTCTCCAGCTTGCCACCATTTAGCTAGGCATTAGAGCCACTTCTCCATCTCGTCACCACTCAATTAGGCATCAAAGCCACCTCTCTAGCTCGTTACCACTCAGTTAGACATCAAAGCCACCTCTCCAACTCATCACCATTCAGCTAGGCATCAGAGCCACCTCTCCAGCTCGTCACCATTCAACTAGGTGTCCAAGCCACCTTCCAGGTAGGAACCATTCAGCTAGGTGCCCAAGCCACCTTCCAGGTAGGGATTATGCAGCCAAGCATCTGAGTCACTAGCCAGCCGGAAGCTGCCAAAATGCGCATCATCAAAACCTATTCTCAATAAAGAGGTCAGATCCATACTTTGTTTTAGTACATAATGATCACAAGTACAGATAGATCATCTAATCTGTAAGAAAATTTCCAATACAACTAGGACATCCTAAAAATCTATTATTTATATGCTTAGTTTCAAATTAGGACTAAAATCCAAGAGGAAAGAATGTGAGTGAAACACTCTAGGACTCTATAAATGAAGTTAAAAAGAAACTCTAGCTTCTTGCAACCAAGCTAGTAGATTTTCTAGCATCCATTTTCCCACAAAAAATGTAAAGAAACACTCAAACAATTAAGCAAAATATAACTACCACCTAAAACTTGATGAATAGTAAAATATAAACAATTTAGAACCCAAGGATAACTGAGGTAACTAAAAATTACATTTTTCCATCAAAGACTAATATGCTATTTGAAATTTTAAATTTAAGTGATGGCTCAATTTTTTATTTAGTGGATGCTCCTGAAATTGTTAAAAAAAGCAGTAAAAATAACTTTTCTAACAGAATGAAAAATCAAGCTAGACATTTTGACATAGAAAACTGCAACAGGAAGTATAGTAGCTGAATTGAAGCTTAAATCAACTACATCAAATTGCACCAAGGTCATTATTCATGCTTGTTTTGGACTTTTGGGTCATTGACAATTGATAATGGAAAACCAAAACTTTCAGGTCGCATTTCAGTATATGAGAACAGATCATCAACTAACCTGCTTATTGTCCAAAGGAAGTGTAACAGGATTGCTTTCTCCACTGAATTGATCTACAGTGCTACATTCAAACATGACAAACTGATGTGAAGAGAGCAGTCTCAGCTAGAAATTAGAAGTTCACGATCTTAGGAAGAAAAAAATGGAATCAGTAACTACGAGAAATAAAAGTCAAAGCCACCATCCTCTGGTTGAATATTTTGAGATCATCAGCTCGTGTAACTAGAATTTTTTTTTGAGAAAAGTTAACAATTTTAACTTTTAATAAGATCATACACATAATAGTTCGATATAAATATGTAAGCAGGAAAAGAAAACCCTACCTATGGACAAAATATCCATTTGAACGTCGACAGACATAATTAATTTCAACAAGATCTCCTTCATGAGCTTCTGGCCCATTCCCTTCAATAATATCTTGAAATGGAAGTTCAGATAGTTAGTGTGGTAAAATGGTACCTAGAAATATGATACCTTGGTACCTGTTACAAAGGTGCTCTATCGTATTGGATGCTTCAATTTTTTGTGTAAATTTCATATCCAGCATTATGTCCAGCCACATTTTTCTGGAGTCTCATCAGTGATCTATTTCAACCAATGAACTCAATGACAATTGATGTTGTAGACTAGAGATGTCATTTCCATTGAATATACATCTGTATTTCATGTTGAAGCAGTAGTGTTACTATGATTTCTTATCAGTCTACACACGGTCATTTTTGTTTTTTCCTAGGTATAAATCATGCCATGTTTACTGATCCTGGTCCATATGACTGCATTTCAGGTCATTTTATTTTGCCTAAGCATAATAAAGTGAATAAACCTTCACCTGTGCACATGTCAACTAAAGGTTTTGATCCTTTTTTTTCCTTTGGGGGGAGGGGAGTACAAAACATGAATGTTTTCCTGCCTGGACTAACATAAAAAAATTGCCATCCTAGTGTACGTACAAGCTTACTGACAAAACATAGCAGATAAAACCAATGACGAATAGCCACATGGAACAAGCAATACTTAGTTAATGGGCAACCCAGGGCCAAGGGGTTACCATATGGAAATTGGAAAAACAAAAATAATCAGTACCTTTCTTAAAATTGACATTGAGAAATAAAATGATGAAACGAAATGAAATCTTCACCTTGAACTCTCACCCCACTAGCCAGCTTCAGGGTCCTGGATGCTTCAAATTCCAAGTAGCCATTGATTATAAAGACTGGTCACAATTGTTAAAACAAGGAAATTAACGTATTCGACCAGTTCTTTGACTGTTGAGAATTACACCTAAAATACTACATATAAAATTTTCTCACCGAATTACTTCAACTTCCTTCATATCTAGCATTTCTGCTGCAGGAGCAGGACAGACAGGTAGAAAGGCAGAACTGAATCCCAAAAACTCCAAAAACAGTCTCCTTGATGATCTGGAGACTGCCAGAGAAGAAAATTTGCCTTGTAGCTCCTTAACCCGGGCTCTCTTGGGCTGACCATTGGCAATGGAACTGGATATGTAATTTCTACAGGTCAAATTTAATGATTCAATTCAAATCTCTTAAGGGAAGAGATTTTGCCACATATTGATTCATGTAATAAGAAAACGCAACAAAAAAAAATCATATCCTATAAAAAACTGGAATGAATTCCATGGTTTAATTAATGAAAAAAAAAAGTAAAACTGAACTTCTCTGTATTCGATTAATCCGACTCAGCTCAAATTTCTTCATCAATTCACGCAGAACAGTTACATAAAACGCCATACATGGAAAACCCTATATAACTGCATTTTTATGCAAAAACGAACATTAGGTATTGAAATTGAAGTACTCACTTTCGAGTTGTGGGAGCGCATCTGAACTGGGCAATGGTTTGTGGCGAACGAACTTCCATTTTCAGTCTGTCTCAGGGCCGGAGAGAGAAGAGAGAAAATGCCGAAGTCCAGTGACCCCCGGTCCAGTCGTAACTCGTAACTACTAACTAATGGATAAAGCAATAAAGGATGGACCACCGAAAGAACTGGAAATGCCATTCCGATTCCGATTTCAGACCGAACCAAACGGGGCCTTATACTCTTTCTATGCACTTCCACTTCTGCTGCTCTGCACGTATAAACTCACGTGCCACTACTCGTAACGGTTCATTGTTGAGATTTAGATAATAGAAGAATCTAGAAACCCTAGTAGCTAGCTATATAGTAAAGGGTTCGGCCACTTCTTCGGCCTCTCTAACCCTACCACGCCTCTTCGAAGTTTAGGACTGCTTTTGCTACTCTCCTTCATTTTCATTTTTCTCTGCCCCTTTTGCTCGAGATCGTGAGACGATTTCCTCCAACACACCATGGCCGAGGCAGAGACATTCGCCTTTCAGGCTGAGATCAATCAGCTACTGAGTTTGATCATCAACACCTTCTATAGTAACAAGGAGATCTTTCTTCGAGAGCTCATCAGTAATGCTTCCGATGTAAGCGCTTTTCTGTTACTGCTCTGGGTTTCCTGTATTATTTTCTGATGTTTTATACTTTATTGTCATGAGCTTTTTTGATCCCGAGTTGCCAACTTCTATTTTCGTTTATGTTATCGTCGTTACCCTTATTGGCTGTTACAACGAAGCGGGATGCCCGCGGAATCTGCGTTACCAATATCTAGGTTTAACATAGCTTTTCTTTTGTTAAATGTAAATGATGCCCTATTATTTTATCCTTCGTGTTTCTTCTTATCTGATTTAATTGTGTGCTGAGAATAGATCCTCTTTTGTGTTCATATTGCCCGAAGGAAATGTTATCTCTCTGGTTTAGTTTTCATTGTTGTTTCTTTTTTGGTTGTTTATATGCTATTTCGTTTTCCATAAATAAATCTTCTGTTTTTCTTTTGAATTGGATATTTTACCACAGTTCTGATATCACGATCCTCGTTGTCATTGTTGTGGTTTGCTGAGCGCCCAATTTAATTTCTCCTGTTTGCATTTATGTACACCCTGTTTTCTTGATCTTAATATTGTTGCACACAACAAGGGGTTGGAGGACACTGAACACTTTTAGGAGTGTGATGCTAGTTTTTTATGCTCTATGATTAGCCTGCTTGATTAGGTCTTTCCTTGTTTATAATTTGCTATGGAGGCTGTAATATTGGCTTTATGACTTTGTTCTTTTGTTAAAATTAATTAAGGCTCTGGACAAAATTCGGTTTGAGAGCTTGACAGACAAGAGCAAGCTGGATGCACAGCCGGAGCTCTTCATCCATATCGTTCCTGATAAGACCAACAACACTATATCCATTATTGACAGTGGCATTGGCATGACGAAGTCTGGTGAGTGGTAGTGTATGGCGATCTATTTGAATCTAAGCATTGCGTATTCTTATTTGCTTCAACTCCCCCCCCCCCCCTAGCTGCCACCCAAGGAAATAAGCTTACTTGGACCTTTTCATGTATGCTCAGATCTGGTGAACAATCTTGGTACCATTGCAAGGTCTGGAACCAAGGAGTTCATGGAAGCGTTAGCTGCTGGTGCTGATGTGAGCATGATTGGGCAGTTTGGTGTTGGATTTTACTCAGCTTACCTTGTTGCTGAGAAGGTTATTGTTACAACGAAGCACAATGATGATGAACAATACGTTTGGGAATCTCAGGCTGGTGGGTCCTTCACTGTCACCAGGGATGCCTCTGGCGAGAGCCTTGGTAGGGGTACGAAGATCACTCTCTTCCTTAAGGAAGACCAATTGGAGTACCTTGAGGAGCGTCGGCTCAAGGATTTGATCAAGAAACACTCAGAGTTTATTAGCTACCCCATCTCCCTCTGGATTGAGAAGACCACTGAGAAAGAGGTTTCAGATGATGAGGATGAAGAAGAGAAGAAAGATGAGGAAGGAAAAGTGGAGGATGTAGATGAAGAGAAAGAAAAGGAAGAAAAGAAAAAGAAAAAAGTCAAAGAAGTTTCTCATGAATGGTCCTTAGTGAACAAACAAAAGCCTATCTGGATGAGGAAACCTGAAGAGATCACAAAGGAAGAGTATGCTGCATTCTACAAGAGCCTTACTAATGACTGGGAGGAGCACTTGGCTGTTAAGCACTTTTCAGTTGAGGGACAGCTTGAGTTTAAGGCCATCTTGTTTGTTCCAAAGAGGGCCCCCTTTGATCTCTTTGACACCAGGAAGAAGCCTAACAACATCAAGCTCTATGTTCGACGTGTCTTCATCATGGACAACTGTGAAGAGCTGATGCCAGAGTATCTGGGCTTTGTGAAAGGCATTGTTGACTCTGAGGATCTTCCCCTGAACATCTCCAGGGAAATGCTGCAGCAGAACAAAATCCTCAAGGTCATCCGCAAAAACCTGGTAAAGAAGTGCATTGAGCTTTTCTTTGAGATTGCTGAGAATAAGGAAGATTACAACAAGTTCTATGAGGCCTTCTCAAAGAACCTCAAGCTTGGGATACATGAGGACACACAGAACAAGGCAAAACTTGCTGAGTTACTGAGGTACCACTCTACCAAGAGTGGAGATGAGATGACTAGCCTGAAGGACTATGTGACAAGGATGAAGGAAGGCCAGAATGATATATACTACATTACTGGTGAGAGCAAGAAGGCTGTTGAGAACTCTCCATTCCTTGAAAAGTTGAAGAAGAAGGGGTATGAGGTCCTCTTCATGGTTGATGCCATTGATGAGTATGCTGTTGGTCAGCTGAAGGAGTTTGAAGGGAAGAAGCTTGTCTCTGCAACCAAGGAGGGTCTGAAGCTAGATGAAAGTGAGGATGAGAAAAAAAAGAAAGAGGCTTTGAAGGAGAAGTTTGAGGGTCTGTGCAAGGTAATCAAGGATGTCTTAGGTGACAGGGTTGAGAAGGTTGTGGTTTCAGATCGTGTGGTGGATTCTCCTTGTTGTTTGGTCACCGGGGAGTATGGATGGACGGCCAACATGGAAAGGATCATGAAGGCACAAGCACTAAGGGATTCGAGCATGGCTGGCTACATGTCTAGCAAAAAGACTATGGAAATTAACCCGGAAAACCCCATCATGGAAGAGCTCAGGAAGAGGGCTGATGCTGATAAGAATGACAAGTCTGTGAAAGACTTGGTTCTATTATTGTTTGAGACTGCTCTTCTTACTTCAGGTTTCAGTCTTGACGACCCAAATACGTTTGGCAGCAGAATCCACAGGATGTTGAAGCTGGGACTAAGCATTGACGAGGAAGGAGGTGAAGCTGATGCAGACACTGATATGCCCCCTCTTGAAGATGCGGATGCAGAGGGTAGCAAGATGGAGGAGGTCGACTGAAATCTGCAACCTCTCTAATTCAGTTTCAAATCTATAAGTATTTTTCATAATGTTTTTTTTTTATGTTTTTAATCTGCAACCTTTCTAATTGAGTTGGGAAGAGCTTCAGTCCAGTGGTTGTTTTTGCTTTGTTAATAGCTCTTCTAGTTTACGAGATAGGCAACAAATCTAGGCGCATAGGCCTTCACTTTTTAAGTTTAATGATGACATACATTTTGTTTTGTTTTGTCGTTGCAAACTTGAAATTGGCTCATTTCTACTTTTCTTCTACATATAATTGTGTAGTTAGATTATCTCTAATCATCAAGGCGTTTTGGCCATTTTATTTTAACTTTTAAGATGCTTATATTATATACTTCCATGTGTGTCCCTCTCAAAATACCTACCACGTGCAGTAATGGGCCTCACGTGCACCTGTTGTTCATTTGATAGACTTGCAAATTGCAATTTTGGGATCAATTTTGATTTGATAGACCATCGGGTTTGGTCTGGGCTTTGCCTCTTTCTCAAATCTCAACAGAAAACGTTCAGGCCTGAACTGAAAATGTTCAGGTTTGGGCTTTGGCCTTTGGGCTGTCAAGGGCGCGAAAAGTTATCCAAGATTAAAAGAACGATCATCCCGTTGTACATGTGCAATCCAAACCCATGATCAAGTCAAATGGGTCAGTTATGATGGGGCACTAGAAAGTAACCAATCCCAAAACTGAAGCAAAATAAACCAACCAATAAGAGAACTAATTTGGCAGTGAAATACCCAATAACCCCCTCAAAAAATAAATAAATAAATAAAACACTTCTGAAAAATCGTTAGTAAGACCCCAAGTAAATTTGATGTTTCAGTTAGAAGTCAAGGATCTATCTAACAGGTTCCATTTCCTTCTCTATACCCAAATATATTTATGATTTTTATAAAATGCAATCCCTTCGTACATGTATACATTCACATGTATTTGTTTCATGTTAATAATAAAAGTTATTTTATTTTACTTGATATCACAAGTTGCATGATGGCGTAGTGGCTAAAGACTAGTTGCATAGTGTCGTAGGCATTAGAACTTGAATTCCAATATTAGCGAACATGTTTTTTAAATAAGAGATATGCGCGTATCAGTGTGTATTGTCATAGTCGGGCAAATTTCTAAGCTAGAAAGTTGATCAGTCCAGTATACACCTGATGATGCCAAGGTCAAAGCTGTCCTTGAATTACCACCTCTCCGAAGTGAATCCCAACTCAAGACTTTCTTAGGGAAGGTGTCCTATCTTAGGACTCGCACCAACAGCTTCACCCCTCCCAAAGTTAACCAAGAAAGCCAATAAGTTCCAATGGTCTAAAGATCACAAGAGAGCATTTGAACAGTTAAAACAAGCCCTAGCCAAATCACCAATCAAGTCTCCTTCGTAGAGTGGTAAAGAGTTTAAACTCTATATCATATCTAATCAAGAAGCAATAAGCTTCCTGATAGCATAAGAAAATGATGAAGGACAAGACTGCCCAATTTATTATGCCAATAGGGAGAAAAACTACTCGCACATGAAGCAATGGTGTCTAGCCCTAGCCTTTGCAGTACATAAGTTTAGGCACAACATAGTAGGACAGAAAATAATCCTCATCACAAAGAGCAACCCCATCCGGTACTCTGTAGACATGCCACCCATCTCATGGAGATTGGTAAAATGGATTATGTAATTGAGCGAGTACAACATAAAGTACATACAACCTAGAGCAATCAGATGCCAAGCAATTGCAGACCTTTTAGCATCATTCCCCACAAATGACCCCTTTGAAATATCAGAAGACATTCTTGAAGAGATGCCCATCATCGCAATAGTAGATGACGTCGAATGGGAGCTAGCATTTGAGGATAACTACACTGACTTTTCTATAGGGGTGGGAGCCACTCTAACGTCTCCCTCTAGGGACATCACAACCTACTCCTTTAAGCTTCAATTCCCATGCTCATACAATATCGCAGAGTATGAGTCCCTCATCCTTGGATTAACCATCACAAGAGACCTAGGAGTGAAAAAGGTTCTGGTTGTTGAAGACTCACAATTGGTAATAAGACAAATGGGAGGCGAAACTACAGTAAAATAACTCTCCATTCCCCCCCTACAAAACCCTTATTCAAGGCCTTACTGAAGACCTAGCAGTTACATACCAACACCACAACCAACCTAAGAACAGATGTGCAAATGCCCTTACCACCCTAAGATCCAAAATCTAGCTCAGCGAAGGCCCCACCACCATCTCTATCGGAATGCAAGGCCAATTATCTATAGATAGGATAACTTACTGTGTACAAACAAAGGACCAAATACAAGAAGGGGATTGGCGATTACCTATTATCCAGAAGCTTCAAAATCCCACTTTCTTAACCAAAGACAATAGAATCCTTCTACGATACCAACTTGTCCACGAGATACTCTACCATAAGATGATCGATGGAGTAAGGGTGCGATGCGTAGGTCCTAAAGAGTCAAATAGTACTAAAAGAGACTTATGAGGCTTGTTACGAGAACATCACTACTGGCTTGAGATGAAGAGTAACACAACGGAACTACAGAACAATTGCGATAAGTATACCTGAGACAGACATATTTGATTGCCTCACTATATCTAAGGATGGCGATCTAAGATGTTATGATGGAGATCTAAGACTTTGAGAGTAGCAAACAATGAAAGTGATCAATTTGTAATCTTTCTGTATGAAAGGCAAAATGGGTATTTTTAGATTTGAAATTCGATGGATAATCAGGATATTGATGGAGGTTTTGGTAAATTTTGGTGGCCTTGGAAGAAGTGCCATGATGGATATCTATGATTCTAAGAGAAACGAATGACGGAAGTGGTCTATTTAGAATCTTTTTGTATGATAGGTAAAATGGGGATTTGGGGTTTGGAATTTGTTGGGTAGGCATCTTAGGATATTTGGAGTCTAATGAGAGTGTCTGATGGCTTTAAAGGTGGTGGAATCATGGGAATCTGGGTTGTGGATATTGCGGTTAACGATGAAGTTTAGAATGAAATCTCGGTTTGATGGATGGGTAAATGAGGGGATTTTATGTTGAAACTTGGTAGAGTGGCATGGATATGAATTACAAGTCTGTTGGAAGGGTTTGATCATGCTAGGGGCATATGGATCGTAGGTTTTAGGCTTGAGAAGTGTTATATTTCTAGATACATCAAAATAGAATCTTTGATGGATGAACGGTGGAATCAAGGAATTTAGGGTTGATTCATTGGATGTTCAAAGGTTATTCTTCATGTAATCGATGAATTTGAGGGTAGAGAGAGAGAGAGAGAAATAATCCCTGCCTGGCCATCTCCTTGCAATTTGCACTTCACACTTTGTAGGATGCCCTCATTGTAGTCAAGGGCAAAGCTAGGAATTTTTTTATGAAGGCGGGGGCAAGATGGATGGGCCATTGGGGGGCCAACCATTAGAGTGGGGAGTGGGGGAGGGGGGAAATATACATGTAAATTGAGAGATGTTCCCAATACACAGTAGCATGTGGCTCTAAGGTTGGTGTATGGAGAAGATCCCAATTCCATCGTAGCTTGGTTCAAGGGAAAAGCATATATAAAATACAATTAATACGTGTCATCACAAGAATCGCTTGGGAAGGATTGCCAGGTTCACGTGCACTCCATGTCACTACAATTCATAATGCAGGCACACACTACACAAATTAGAAAGTTTTCACTAACAGGCAGAACAATAGAGTACAATTAATCGTCTAGGCTTTAAACTTCAAAGTGTTTGTTTATGTTGGTAAGATTAATAAGCAAGTGATAGTAATCTTAAATGTGCTTCTTACTGAGGACAAGTAACAACTTTTACGATTTGTAACCTATAGAGAGAGAGAGAGAGGAAAAAAGGGAGGTGAGGGTCCTCTCACCAATAGAGCTCACACATACCTTTTCATCATCTCCTTTCTCACACATGTGCATATTTATTTTTATATTAAATCATTAAAAATCTCACCAATAAATCTCTCTCTCTCTCTCTCTCTCTCTCTCTTCTTAATATTCAATGTTTGTAACATCTCCCCTCCCCATAAATCCTTATTTTCCTCTTAAATATCTTTTAATCCCTTTTGGCTCTTTCTAATAAAATAGGGTGTAAATTAGATAGGTTGGTTAGGTTAAGTGTCAACCTAAATATCAGCCTTAGTTTGGACATATGTATTTGCCCACCAGTACATGGGATGAATTGTTTTATTAATTTAATTTAATGTAGATTTGTTTAATGGATTCTTTTGGTTCAATAATAAAATGTAGTAAGAAAAAACTTAAAGCAAGTTTTTGGTTATTTTCACCGGTCCAATTTTTAACTATTAATCTCATGCTAAGCACATTTTTTGGCTTAATAGAGCTACACAATGGGAGGTAACCCATTGCCCCAACCCAGGTCTCTGCTACAATTAACTAAATAAGGTATCAACTGAGCCACCATCAGTTGGTTTATGTGCTTCTCATAATATATAAATTATATAAAAAGGAAAATTTGAAACTACTAAAAAAGAATAGAATCTTTCCTACTATTCTACACATAAAAAAAGTAGACATACAATATCCCATGCGTTACACGGGTCTCTACTAGTTTGTATTGAAGCATGTTGGTGTAGTTTCACGTATTTTAGTGATTGTATAGACTTTCCGGGTTTCACTCATACTCATAGGCCCTAATGTGTATAAGCAGAGTAGGGATCTAAGGAGGCACAACATTGTAAGAGAGATCATCCATTTTTTTTTTGTCTTGGGATGTGGGCTCGTAGAAAGCATGGTATTCCAACTGCTTGTGTGTATGTGGACTATGGGTGAGCAAATGGGTAGGTTCTATCCAGAACCRAATGGAACCGACCTCGAATTGGCCTTGAATCCTACCCGATCTGTTATAAGGTAAGGTCTGCTTCCAAATTCTTGGAACTGACCCTCACCCAGGTTGGTTCTAGGGTTTAGGGGTTTACCTTAGTTGAACTAAATCGATGAACCGGTCTTGGTTGCCTTGGTGGAACTGGATTTGAAACCGAACTTTCCTTAAAAGAAACCCCCAAAATATTTTTAAGGATATGAAGATTTGAGCCTAGGCACTCATGGTTACAAAAGCCATGCTCTTACTTGACCATCAAGTTACTTAATTAAGTGAATGATCATTTGTTTTCATTTTAATATATACACTTGTATGTGTATAATAAATAAAGTAAAAGGTAATATTTACAAAATTTAAATAATAATGACAAATTTTCGAGCATATATGAATATATTATAATAATCTACATATTAATTAAATTATTTAATTTAATCAATAAAGTTAATATAAGTTTTAAACTATATATTATCATTATTGAAAAATCAAGGTTTTGAAGAATGTGTTTCATTTTTTTCTGGGGAGAGTAAAAAAAGAACTGATTCCACGGGTAGACCTTGGAATCGACCCTGAAACCGCGAAGGCCAAAACCAACCACTATTGTATAAGTTCTAGGTTCTGCCATATAACCGAACCGACCAATCCATACTCACCCCTAATGCGGATTATTTAACGAGATTATATATCAGTGGATGTGTATACTATTAGTCCAGATGCATCCTGTAAGAGGGTTGTGCTTCAGGTGCATAGCGAGAAATCATAAAGTTGAAATTATTAAGATAAGTGCAGGTCCAATAGCCATAACTTCGATTATGGTAGCAGTGATGTGGACATGCTTAAAAGCTCACGAAATGGCAAAAGATTTAGGTTATTCGCAGGTTATGCCTTTCAAATGAGACTCTAGGATCACAATAGAAGTGTTAGAACAGTTCGAGCAAGGTTGCATAGAGGGGACCGGCTAACAATTGAAGAGCATCATCATGCTATAAACACAAACAACTCTTGTTCGTGGGATTTGGACTATATTATTCTAAATTTCTAATTGATGCTCTAGGCGGTTCTCTCATCTTGAAATACACATGGCAAAGTTGGAGTCAGACTGACTACCTGGATTTTGCTTGGTGGTTTCCCACTTTCTTGCTTCCAGCGGCAAAACGTTCGAGCATTGGGGTGGGGGGGTGTTTTGGGGTTATGGCAGCGGCAAACGGAAGTGGCTAGTGATGGCATTGATACGGTGATGTTGGGAGAAGGCTATTCCCAACATTAAGAAAGAGGGAGGCTATTCCCTCTCTTCTCAGAGTGAGCGTCCTATCTTCTGTATTATTAGAAAACCCTTTATCCCTTCTCCCTCTTCTCTCTCTGTTTTTCCATTCTGAGTCACTCTCTCATACCAAGAATACCCTCTCTCCCTCCTAATTTAGGTGTGCCCCATTTGAAAATAAGGCTGAGTTTGGAAGGAGTACAAATGCGAATATGTAGAGTGCAAAACTTTATATTTTGTATTATTTTGTATGTATTTATACTGAACATATTTGCATTTGTACTACTTCCAAACTGAGCTTGAGGAGCGTTCTTTTTTGAGTCTGGATCTCCTGCCCACAAGAACTCTGTCCACGTTCATCGAAGCCACACATGGAGAACATCTGATCCTTTGCATAGTATTATGTAGGGGGAGATGTTCCCAATTCACGGGGGGTAGTGTATTGTGCGTAGGCATGGGCAGAGTTCTCGTGGGCAGGTGATCCAGACTCTTCTTATTTTTTGATTTTGAAAGGGAGAAAGTTGGTCAATGGGATTTTGGTTCCCATTGTCTAAAAATCCCATGTTCTTTTTTCAGATTAATGTGGGAACCAGGGAAAGTTTATTTTCCTGGATATCACTTACCCGGGTAAATGACACCCATCTCCTAGGTGGATAAATAACTTTTCCACTAGGGAAGAAAGTTTCCAACACTTGAATGGGACAAAAATGCCCCTTTTAATAATGAATTTTTATGGTTAAAATGGTTGTTTCCTTTTTTTACTTGGAAAATAAAAGAACATGGGTAAATACACTTACTTGGGTAAGTGTTTCCCAGGAAAAACTTACCCAAGTAATTGCATTTACCCAGGTAAGTAACTTACCGATAGGGGTGGCAACGAGTCAAGCTTTTCACGAGCTGCTCGAGCCCAATTTATAGGCTCGATTAATAAATGAGCCGAGCTCGAGCCTAATAGAGCTTGGCTCATGAGGCTCACGAGCCGAGCTCTCAGATATATATATATATATATATATAGAATACAATTATAGAAAATAATATATATAATAAAAATATTATATATATATATATATATATATATATTTTATAAAATACTTTTCTTCAAATCAAGCTCGAGCTTATGAGTTTTTGACTCGAGCCAAGCTCAAGCCTCATACTATTCGGCTCAGCTCAGCTCCAATCCACCCTACTTACCGAAAAGCGAACAGGACCTAAGTTAAAATTAATTCCCTTCCCAATTATTCCGATATGATTCATAACCAAAAGAACCAACTAATTTTTCTCAATAGGAACAGTTCTACCCAAAGTTCTAAATATCGACATGGGGTGATAGCCACAATATGCCAGTAGGGCATATTGGCCCATGTTGGTACATTTTTTCAAGTTTCATTTGTTTTTTTTGAAACCAGTTCAGAGGGGTCAGTTTAAGGCCCGACTACCCTCTGAACCAGTGGCTGACCCAATACAACCCCTGGAGGGGCGTATCGATAAGCCATCAACACAATACATATCAGCCAATACAGGCCAATATGTATTGATACTTTGAACCTTGGTTCTACCCTGCCTTTAATCAGACTCCACCCATTGACAGCCTTATAGCCAATATATCCGATCCCATCATCCCAAGGAGAGAGGGGAACCATGGTAATATGAGCCCTTCTATGGGGAAGGCAGAATCTTTTTAACTAGTGCTCTAGCGCGTTGTCCATTGGACACCAGGTTTATGGCAAACACAAATACCGATTTGGTGACCGAATCCACCACTCGAGAATGTGTCCAAGCATCAAGAATTTAAGATTGTCCTGAAACGGAACCTCACCTTGGCGTCTAGATTTTTGGTTACCCAGGGCACCATGTGAATGTGAATTCCGGATGGTTTGTTGTAAAATATCAAGAAACTGGGTAAAGGTTTCACAGGAGACCTTTTATTGTTTTTTCGGTATTTCTATGACATCATGAAGCTCCAGCTCCCCCACTTTTGACCATTAATATACCACGATTTTATTCAATAGTCAATACGATTGCTCACAACCAATCAACCATCCAACCCATATCGCTTGATTCTTAGCATTCACTGGACAAGAAAGGAACACAAAGGTAGCTTTACTTCTACCTCGGGGATAATGCCCTATAAGAAAACTAATGCACTATGTTGTAACTCAGGCTGAAGATCTCATCAATTGAAATAAGAAATTGGGGGGAAAAGACGATATGTAGCAGTAGAGAATATAAAACGTCAAACTCTTCATAACATTCATCAATTAGCTCCAAAAGCTTTTCTCTGCACCTCTTAAACTCCAAAGAAACATCATTGTCTAGAAATGGGCAAACCTTCATTGACAAAGAGACTCGAGCTCTTTATAGATGAAAACCTCAGGTATCATCAACTTGCGAGTGAAACACAAAGCTTGGGAATGTAGTGGTGATGTCCCTGTTCAAGGGCATTGAAACAGTCAGTTCAGAATACCTTTAAGAGAGCGTGTGCTGCTAAATAAATAGTTCCATTTCTTTCTGGATAGGCATTTAAGTTCTTCCATTCACAATTTTGCTTACAGACATTGGTAGCTAAAATCAGGTGAAACCATCAACTAATCATCTTAATCTTAGACCACTTCAAAAGATTAAAACCAAGTACAAGATCTCAACCTTCTATGTTATGTATGGTTTTGGTATAAAAATAAGAGAGAAATAGAAAGTTGACTAAAAAAAATAGATTAATAACATAAGAAATTAAATTAAAGTTGAGATAAGTATTTCTAATCAAGCACAGCAGCGGTCCATTTTATAGGCCAATCTGCTGCATAACATGAAACCCAATAATTGAACAACCACGCTAGATGTTTGTCATGGATACAGAAAAGAAGATAAACTCCTTCAAGATGATGATGATGGCTAAGTGGCTTTCTCTACTAATAACTAATATTACATCAATCTGTTAAGATTAAAAACAATTAGGAGAAGCACATTCCTCACCATATAGATGGGCTTTCAGTTTTGATCAGTGACACAAATTGAGGGCATCAAAAAAAAAATCCAGAACAGCAAAAGCCTTGCCAAGACACATCATTTGTATTTAGCCACAAAATCTGTAATAAACATACTCGAACAAGATTTTGTAATTGGCCTATAGATTTCAGAGCAACTTATGAGGTTCACTTTCGCATGCAAGGGTACAGGTTTATTTTTGTATGATACTGAATAACAATCCTAAAGGAGGTTTTTCCTTCCCTTTTTGAGGTGGCAGTGAACAAAAATTCTAGTGTGGCTGAGAATTTGCAAGTGCTAAATGGCAGTGTGGTGTGGGTTCCTCAGTCAGAAGGCTGTTGAACAATTGGGAAGTAGAAGATATGGGTGGTTTTACTTCAAAGATTATATGACACTCAGGTGGACATCGGGCATGCGAATAGAAGAGTGTGGAAATGGGATAAAAATGGAAACTTTTCAGTCAAATCTATCTTTAAGGCTTTTTCAAGGTCAGAAGAGCAGGACATTCCTGTCAAGATCGTTTTTCTGTGGCTGGCCTGCCTGAATAAGCTCTCAACCAGAGACAATCTGGCCAGAAAAGGAATGCAGCTGACGTCCACTACCTGTGTTTTTTGTGAAGCTGAAGAAGAATCTGTGAATCACCTCCTTTTACATTGCGGCTTTGCCCAAGGTGTGGTTTAAAAATTGGAACTTGTTTGATTTAAAGAGCTGTTGCCCAAAGTCAATTATGGAGTTTGTAAGGCTGGAGTTTAGGAGGTTTATCCCCGAAAGGTAAGGTGGCATGGAGTTTGATTTAAGTGCAAGTTTTCAATAACAAGCACAGCTCTTCTGACACAGTTTTTCAGAGAATAGTGGGCAAAATGATTTCTTGGCTTTCTGTAAACATGTTATTCAAGAATATGAACTTCAACTCTTTTTTTGTACATGAAAATATATTTTTGTAACGCAGGGCTGAGGGGTACAGATCTGCTCTAGCAGTTTTTTGTAAATCCCTGTGTACAGCTTCTTGTTGCACATGGTTTTTCTTCCCTTAATGAAATCATACTTTACCTGTTTCAAAAAATAAAAAAATAAAACAATCCTAAAGGATCAAAAACTAGGCTCTAGAAATCTAGGATGGATTAGCCAACCAAATTTGTATATTTATTTTAATAAATTCTTTGATTTTAATCTTGCAATAATTACATAATTTACAGGACTTGTGCCACTTTTCYAAGTTTGTATTATTGCCAGATAAGTATTTATTTGCTTCTTATCTATTTAAAGAAAAAAACAGCATGCAAGAAAAGCAAAGGTAGTTTGCAATTCTTTTACATAATATACAGCCCAGAAACTCTATCATCATTGACTGGCTATCAAATAAAAGAAGACATAGGTTTAAAGCCAGAACATACTTAAGGTATTGAAGAGTCATATTCTTCAACAGAGATGGGTGCCGCAAAACAAGATTCCGCCACTCTTCCTTGTCTATCTTCCCATCATGTTTTGTATCAGCCTCCTCAAATGTCTGCCATAGGCAAAGGAAACATGTGTGATTATAAGATGTTTACAGAAGATTCATATCCAGAACCCTCAAAATTATACATGTATTTACTGTATAGTCTAGTAATTCAAAAAATTCAGAACACTGGCAAGAAAAAGATAAACATGCTTAAAAACTAAAACAAAATACCACATTGAGAGTTGATACTTAAACAGAACTTCTAATATACACACTAGTTGAGTGGCATGTGCAAAAGGAGAGAGACAACTAAATGGACTAAGATTTTGAGATGGTTACCTGGACGTGAGGCCAAGACCATCAGCCAGGCTGCCAGGGATGCTTCTGAAACACATGGCTAGGTCTCCCACTATGAAAAGGGGGATCATTTCATATCCTTTAATAAAAAATTAAAACCCAGCAGAAAAACTTAATGCCAGTTCCATCTTCTAGATAAAGTAAATTTTACTAATTGAATAACCCCAATATTCATTACCAAGGTATACTTAGGTACATAACTTTTCCATACAGGTAGATAGAGCACCTACTCTAGTTGGTCGCACTGCTGAGTTGCCTAGATGAGCACCTTGTTGATATTAAGTCAAGGCATTATGGGAAATGTTCCCAGCCAAAGGTGACTAGGTGATGCCTTGACAACTATGGGTGGCATAATAGATGAGAAACCAACTCCTTCCAATTGCCACATAGCTTGTAACAATTATCTAACGACCTTTGCCTTGCCACGAGATAATAATGATCCATTACTGGCATCTTATCTTAGGAGTTAAGACAACAGTCCAGAAGAACAATAACTCTGTATGGGACATTAATCACCCAAATCCGTTTCCAAGAGAAGTTAGCATCTGAGATTTCAATTAGAGAGTCATAAAGACTTGACCAAACAAAGGAGGTCAGGTTTCCAAATATTGGATCTTCAGCTCTTAACCACAGGGTGCTCCTAGCGATATGAGAAAGCAATTCAATTAAATGAACAGCCTTGAATCATCAAGATGCTGATGTAGATCTGGACCCTAATCTACCTGACCACTAACAACAGTCCGACTCATTGATGATTACATCATGAGGATGGTGCTATATGGAGGTTAAGGGGGTCAATACACAATGGCCTGTTCATGCACCATCAATTGGTCCAAAACTGATTGTTATTACCATCTCCTCAGTAATAAGGCAACAAATTTACTGTACATCTTTTCAAGGCACCAAGGCAAAGCTAGGCGATAGGAGAGTGCCTTGTTTCCTAGTCGCTTAAGTGGGCGCCTAGGCATCACCTAGGTGATGAGTTTTTTGAAATAAAAAATATATATAAATCCTAAGCTATTAGGTTTCATAGGAAAAAGTAGTAATCTTTAGCTAATAATCACCATAATTCTCATGAAATAAGTATAAACCCCATACCAATAGATAGAAAGTAAACATATTTATGAGTAAAAAAATAAGAAAGGAAAATTTATCAAAAAAAAAAAAGAAAGGAAATAAACATACAAAACATAAGGGTTGAGCCTTTGTTTTGGTCCTAGGATGAAGAAGTCCTATTGATTGTTCTTGTGTGTCAATTGGATAAAATCTTCAAGTTATTTTTAACTTACCAATTCAGGTTTTAAACTCCTGAAGGGTTCAAGAATATGTCACTGCCTTGTGTCTCAATTTAACCCAAACGAATAAGAAAATAACAAAAAGAAACTAGTATAGGAATAACAATATTAATTCTGTAAACCCACAATATGAATAATTTAGTCTAATAATATCTATTGTACTACTATTAATAACACAAAATAAAAATATAAAATATTGTAAGTTGTCTTATATAAAAATATGTAGGCATTTGGGTGAGGCAACCCTCCAAGAACGCCTTATCACCTAGGTACTGCCTAGGTGCCCGTCTAGGTGTTGCCTTGACAACTAATGGAGTGGTTAAATTTACTGAATACATTCCAAGTACTCATAGTTCCTTTCTGAACTCCAGAACCATAGATTTTTTTTATCAACCTGAACCATAGATATTTGAATCAACTACTTTTGCTAATCTAATAAGAGGTTCCCATATTTGTTTAAAATGACTTGGATCCATGGTGTGTCATGTTCCTTGAACATAACATAGACACCTGCCAAGAAGCTATTAGTAAACGACATTTCATCACCAAGTCCATCCCAATAAGAAGTGCAACTCCAATTATCCTAAAACATCACCTGCCAATGCCAAAATAAAAAAAAAAAAGGACAAACAACAGACCAGTATATTGGAGAAAGAACTCCTAAGAGGTATTATCGTACCCACCAGGCCACCCTTTTGTAGTTAGTTTTAAATTTAACCTGCCAGTTTCTTTCCAAACTACTCAACGGAGAGTTCTAAAAGCTTTGGAGGCAGAGAGCCACATCTGTGAGACTGCAATAGAGGGAAGGCAGTGCAGCAGCCAAATCTCCTAAGTTGTGATTCAACTTGCACCACCACAGTTGTGATTGCCCTTATGGGTCCCCACCCAAGAAGACCGTGACCAAACTCATTTTTTTATGGCTGTGGAAGAGAGGAGCTGAACAGTCCTCGATGAAACAATCAAAAGGTGACACAATGACTCCCGATGCAAACACAAGACCAACACTAGCCATAAAGAATGCTTGACTCTTAAAATTGGGGGGGGGGGGGGGAATAGTAACAAAGTGCATCATAAAATGACCGATAAAATATCCATCCAAATACGAATTCCACCACTAAGCATGGTGTAAACTACTCAAACTCCCTACAGAGCAAGTATTACACTCCTCACTTGTTTCCCTCAAATATGCACCAACATATAACAAAAGGCATAACATCCCAAAAAATAGTCTCTTTTGTCAAGACAACTTGCAAGCCAAGCTTGAATCAGTGAAGAGATTGTGCTTCAGGATCACCATTCAAACAACCTAATGAATTACCACAAAATCTTGCAAGCAAAATAAACTGGAGAAGAAGATGACCAACCGACTCTTCTTGGGTTGTAGAAGAATTATTTTAAGGTATGATTATGTTCTCAAATAAACAAATCAATGACTAAATGAGGATAAACAAATAAGCAATTGTATTAAGGAGTCAATGAAATATTGCTTTCAAACGATACAGCAATTACTAAACAAACAGCTGATGAGTAGTAAAATTAAGATATCTCATCAGTACACCATAAAGATGAATTTTTTTTTTGAAGATAAATAAAGAAAAAATTTTATTGCCAAAAGGAAAATAGTACAAGCATAACTAGGTGACAAGACGTCACCACCACCAGAAAACAAAAAGACTCATTACAACCTCACTTCAAAACAAAACAATCCCTTGAAGACAACACAGAACATCAACACTCTTTTATGCATTCAAAGAAATCAGTACCAAAATCTTCCTTCCTCAATCCCTGAAACTCAGGAAGCAACAGCAGTACAGCACCCAACCAATAACTGTCAAACTGATAATAGCCACTGTCTCTTCCATACTTCTCTTTTTCTCCTCAAATAAATCAGTACCAAAGTCTTCGGTTTCTTCCCTTCCAGATCTCTGTTAGGAACCTGCCCCTGCCTAACACAGAGCTCTTTGAGGGAACCAACCTCCTGAATTAGAGAGAGAGAGAATGATGCTGAAAGGTCGATGGCTTTATTCCCTTATCTTTGATTATTACTGTTTTACAGAGCTCCCTTCACTAACATTCTTTAATTTCTTTTTCTGTTAAAACCACTGCAAGTGGATGGTCAGTTAGTTGGGCTGTTGACGTGGCCTTCTCTTGTAAAACTGGCTAACCATTTTCTGTTGTTCTGTTTCAGCTGTCTTAACAATCCCTCCCTCCTTTAGAGAGACCTTGCCCTCAGGGTCTAAAGTGGGAAAGTTCGTTTGCAGATCCAAGTAAGGTTCCCAGGTGGCATCCTCCTCTGGAAGTTTAGACCATACAACTAGTGCTTCCAGAATGACTCTACCACCACGGTGCACCCATCTGAAGTCAATGATGCGGGCTGGCTCAGTCTGCACTTGTCTGTGGGTAGGGTAGCACTAGTAATGGCTCCTGGCTTAGGCCCTTTCTTCAGTAAGGAGATATGAATGCAGGATGTAATCTTGATATTGCCGGTAGATCCAATTTGTATGCCACAGACCCTATCCTCTCGATGATTGTAAATGGTCCAAAGTAGTGTGGACTGAGTTTATTCCACTTCCGGCTTGCTACTGAAATCTTTCTGAAAGGATGCAATTTAAGAAACACCCAATCACCCACTGCATAGTGGATATCTTTGTGGTGCTTATCATAACTGTTCTTCATCCATTGCTGTGCTCGTAGGAGATTATTTCAGTTCCTTTAATACCTCATCTCGTTGTATCAATTGTTCTTCCAGGGCTGCCACTGCCGTAGTCCCCCTTTCATAAGAAAGTAGAGGGGGAGGTCCCAACCATATAGAGCTCTGAAGGGGGTCATCCCTGCAGCACTATGGAAAGTGGTGTTGTACCACCACTCAGCCCAGTGAATCCACTTCACCCATTGCCTTGGTCGATCTCCAGCAAAACATCTGAGATATGTTTCAAGACTCCTATTAACCACCTTTGTCTGTCCATCAGATTGGTGGTGGTAACTAGTTGATTTGAAGAGCTTAACCCCATGTAGATTAAAAAGTTCAGCCCAGAAACGGCTCATGAAAACAGGGTCTCTGTCGGACACAATTGAGCTGGGAAGCCCACGAAGACGTACGGTTTCCTGAAGAAACACTACAGCAACTGTGACTGCTGTAAATGGATGTGATAGAGGTAGAAAGTGACTGTATTTAGTCAATCAATCATCCACCACAAGGATAACAGTTTCACCAGTGGAGACGGGCAACCCGGTGATGAAGTCCATTGATATATCATCCCAAACTTGAGTTGGAATTGGAAGTGGTTGCAAGAGCCCTGCTGCTGTTGTAGTAGGTGTCTATTCTGTTGACACTACGCATTCAGCTATGAAATTTTGGATTGAAGCACGCATTCCCTTCCAGTGGAATTGTGTGGCAATGCGTTTCTGAGTGCGCAGGACACCGGAATGTCCACCTATGGGCAAGCCATGAAATAGTTCAAGGAGCTTCTGAAGATGGGCTGAATCTGCTGGGATTTCCAGGCGACCCTTGAAGAAAAGTAGGCCATCTTTGACGGTATACTGGGTGCTATGACAGATTTTCCAATAGTTGGGCCTTTAATTGCTGTAATCCAGCATGGGAGTGAGCTTCACTTCGAAGCTGATCCATGAGTGGAGAGGCTGGGGATGACACAAGTAACTGAAATGACTAGGGGTGCCGTGAGAGGGCATCGACCACACGGTTAGTAGACCCTGCTTTATACTCGATTGTATAGTCATACCCCAGTAATTTGGACAGCCACCGTTGTTCAGGTGATAGGACAGTCTGTTCTAACAAGAACTTCAAACTTTGATGGTCGGTCCTGATGATGAATCGTCTACCAAGCAAGTAGGATCGCCAACGCTGCACTGCTAGGACCACTGCTATTAATTCCCATTCATAAACTGACTTGGCCCACTTCTGTGATGTTAAATCCTTGCTGAAAAAGGCTACTGGTTGGCCTTCTTGCATGAGGACAGCCCCAACACCTCGACTGGATGCGTCACATTCCCCGATGAAATCTTTTGTGAAATCAGGTAATGCTAATGTGGGTGGTGTTGAAACTGCATGTTTCAATTGCTCAAAGGCTTGCTGGGCCTGGGCTGACCGGTGGAAGGCATCCCGTTTTAACAATTGGGTCAAGGGGGCAACTATTAGGCCGTAGCTTTTGATAAAGTGGCGATAATAACCTGTCAGGCCCAAGAATGCCCTAAATTCTTTCACATTTTTGGGTTGCGGCCAGCCAACTATACTAGAGATTTTATCTGAGTTCGCAACTACAGTTCCATTTTCCACAACATGTCCCAGGTAATATACTTGAGATTGTCCAAAGGAGCACTTGGACTTTTTAGCAAATAGCTGATGGGCCTAAGTGTTGTAAGTGTAACCTGTAGGTGGTGCAGATGTTCCTCCCAATTGGGGCTGCATACCAATATGTTGTCAAAGAATAAAAGAATGAACTTACGTAAATATGGCCGAAATATGTCATTCACCAAGGCTTGAAATGTTGCCGGAGCGATGGTCAGTCCAAATGGCATGACCAAGAATTCGTAGTGGCCATCATGTGTCCTAAAAGTCATTTTGTGAATATCCTCCATATGTACCCTTATTTGGTGATACCCGGCCCGTAAATCTAACTTTGAGAATATGGTGGCCTGACTGAGTTCATCAAGTGGCTCATCAATGACCAGTATTGGGAATCGGTCCTTAATGGTAATATTGTCAAGGGTCCTACAATCAATGCAAAATTGCCAAGTCCCATCCTTCTTTTTGACTAGTAATACCGGTGAGGAGAATGGGCTATGGTTGGTCTGTATTATTCTTTTCTCAAGCATATCTTGAACTTGCTTATCAATTTCAAATTTTTGGAAATAAGGGTATCAGTAGGGTCTTACATTGGTCGAAGTAGCTCCTGGCATGAGAGGAATGAGATGGTCATGCTCCCGGGGTGGAGGAAGCTCCTGGGGTTCTTCGAACACGCTGTCGTATTCCTGGAGGAGTTGTTGTAGGCGGCTGTGGTAATCTCCCGACCCACTTGAGTTGCTATTAGCTAAGGATGGGCTGACCCAATTCAAATCCATGTGCATGAATATGGGTTGATCAGGGTCCCTCATTTGTTTTGTTAATGATGCAAGACTTCACCCAATGTGGAGTCCATGGTGAGGCGAGCCCAATCACATACAATGGGCCCTAATTGCCTTAACCACTAGATACCTAGAACCACGTCCTCTCTGCTGAGATTAAGGGGATATATGTCCATTGAAAATTGATGCCCTTGAATCTTCAGTGGCAAACCCAAGCATATATTGTTGCAAGATAGGCTATTACCATTGGCTACATGTACCGTAAAGGCCGTTGTTGGTTGAAACGGAAGCCCCAATTTATCCACCAAAATCTGAGTTATGAAATTAAGGGAACTGCCGTTGTCTATGAGGATTGACACGTGGTATCCCTGGATTAACCCGACTACTCTCATTGTCTGTGGAGACGCAAGTCCCATGGGGGCTTGCAGGGATATTTCGGGTGTCCCAGTCGGCTGTATTTCCCACCTGGATTCTCCGTCACTGATGAAGTCGCCTTCCTCCTCGGTCTCTGTCTGGAGGAGAAACACTTGTTGTGTCTTGCACCAATGGCCTGCTCTGAATTTTTCTTCGTAGTTGTAGCAGAGGCCTTTGTCTCTACGGGCTTGCATTTCGCCCCAAGTCAGTCATTTGAATGGGATGGTTGGGCCTGAGCCCAGTATCCCGTCTTCTTTGTTTGGTGATGCTGGTCTGGTTGATGGCCCCCATGGCCGGTGAATCTTTCTTGCTCGTGCGAACTTGTCTTCATACAATCTTGCCAGAGACGTTGTGTTTATGACTGAAGTAGGTTACCTCGCCTTTACTTCCAGTCATAGTTCTTCCTTCGGGCCGCCAACAAAACACCAGAGCTTTTTCCGTCCACCCTTGGACCTACATGGCCAGCTTCTCGAACTCCATCTGGTAATCTTTAACCGATCCCATCTGCCACAATTTTGCCAGATTTTCATTGTGATCCTCGAACCCAGATGATCCAAAGCGGATAGTCAAGCCATCAGTGAAATCCGCCCAAGATTTGCGAGGGTGCCCACGTCGGTACCGCTGATACCACAAGATAGCTTCTCCTTCCAAATGTGCAAAAGCTAGAGACACCCTATCTTGCCCAAATGTCTCATGGTAATCAAAATAGCACTTTGCTCTGAGAATCCAAGGAGTCAGATTGCCGCCTGAAAAAACAGGGAAATGTATTCTTACTACTTGTGTTGCTCTAGGTCCTATTCTCCAGCTATTCTCATGGCTGCGCTCTTCTTGATTTTCCTTGTCATTGTTTGCCAACATTTGATCCAATCGATTGAGGAGAGTGGTGAAGCCTTCCTTCATTTCTCTGAGGTCTGATGACATATGATGGATTTCTACCTCCATCTGATCCACCTGAGTGTCTACTTGAGTTGTTCTCGTGTTGGTCTTGTTGGCTCTAATACCAACTTGTTAGGAGCCTACCTCACACAGAGCTCTTCGAGGGAACCAACCTCCTGAATTAAAGAGAGAGAGAGAGAGAATGATGTTGAAAGGTCGATGGCTTTATTCCCTTATCTTTGATTATTTATACTGTTTTACAGAGCTCCCCTCACTTACATTCTTTAATTTCTTTTTCTGCTAAAACCACTGCAAGTGGATGGTCAGTTAGTTGGGCTGTTGATGTGGCCTTCTCTTGTAAAACTGGCTAACCATTTTCTGTAGTTCTGTTTCAGCCGTCTTAACAATCTCCCAGAACAGAGCAACGGGAATACAGATCAATAAAATCATAGATTTAATGCCACCACAGATTCTTGGCCAGCAACTAAAGATTTCAGCCAGATCTGCCATAGAACACCTATCTACCTTAAATAGCTTGAAGAAATAGGACCAAATTGGACATGTGAACTTGCAGTGCAGAAGTGAGAAACATCTTCCTCTTCAGAAAAACACAGCACACACCTACTTGGAAACTGAAAGCCTCTGAGCTTCAGGTTATCCTGGGTTAAAATGCATCTTCTCACAACCAACCAAGCAAAAGCTTCAGCCCTAGGAAGCACTGGTTTTCCCAAAACACCCCCTAACTGGATCACCCTCCACCTGATTTCTGATCAAAGCCGCGTACATTGATTTGACAGTAAACTTCCCATCCTTACATTCTTTCCATAATCTGACAACTGCAACTGAGGGATTTATCTCCAAGGCCTGAAGTTTTGCCAACAACTCCACACACTCCACCTCCCAATCGAACAGGGGTCTTCTGAGATATGGATTCCAGATCACAGCACCTTTAACTACTTCATAACACTCTGAGATAGGCACTCCTTTCCTGCTCAAATTGTATAGCCTTGGGCATATTTCACAGAATTTCCCAACCCCAGATTAATCATCTTCCCAAAACCGAATACTCGATCCACTCCCCACTTACAAAGAATAAAAGGAGATCATCAAAGACTTAAAGCTCATGATTCCTTTTCATACACTAACACCATATGAGTGCCTCACCTCCTTTGAGTTCCACCCGGAATTCACCACCCCATACTTACAGGCCACCACTCTCCTCCAAAGGGCCTCTCTTTCTCTTCCAAACCTCCAAACCCACTTACCCAACAAAGCTTTGTTGAAACCTCCTATCCTTTTCACCCCTAACCCCCCCGTCTTTTTTGGGTCTGCAAACCACCTCCCACTTAACCAAGTGAATCTTCTTTATTTCAGACCTAATATTCCACAGAAAATCTCTGTAATCTTTCAACCTCTCCCAGAAAGATGAATTATAAAAAGTAAAGATTATATCAGATTGCCATATAAATTACTAAACAAAATCAGGATTCTTTTTGATATGTGAGGATTTAGAGGCATCTTTTGTCATCCCAAAGTACATTTGTGTACATGGTTTTACAGTTGCATTGTATTTGCTAATACATCTTTTTGTCGTTAGGTAATAGTCATTTTTCTTATTGTTTTTCAAAACAAAATACTTGTCAGAGAGAACATAGAAAGCTGAGAAGACCCAAAAAGCACACAAGATAAAAAGGCTGGAAGGTGGTCAAGAAAATTTATATGGGAGAAATAAGGAAAGAGAATAAACAGAACCAAACTAAGGAAGCACCTTGTCAATAATACTTTCTATAACATCATCTGAAAGATTCATTCCAGACTCAGCAAGCGTAGCTACTACCATTTGCTTCACCTGTACATTTGAAAGAAGGTCAAAGTTCTGAAATGCCTGAGTAGAACAGAGATAAGAACCTATACCAGACTAGATGTCTGAAACACCAGAAATGAAGTCAATATTTTTATATAGGCAAGTGAAAAAGGATTCTATTAAAAATGAAGGGCAAATCACCCTCAAACATGTATAAAAAGAGCTTTACAAGAGTAACATGATTCCCCCAACCTTGCTATACAAAAATGTTTAACTACATCAGAAAATAATAGACTTTCAATGATTAAAAAAGCTATCAGTGGGCACGTCCAGAAATGAAGTCAATATGCAGAGGGTAAACTTATGTTCACTGAATCAACAGTAAGGAGGGAGGGGGAACCAAAGTAAAGAACCAACTAGAAAACAGTCATATTAAGCATGAATCTCTATAACACAACCATTGCATCCCATTCAAGTATATGCCTTGCTTTAGTTTCCTTATTTCCAATACCCTTAATCTTGTTACATCACCCACTGCATATGAATCACATAAAACATGCTATTCCCCGTTTACAAATCCTTAGTCTCAAGCCTACTTCATCATATTCTTACTATAGGTCATACTTAAAAAAAAAAAAAATCCAGTATAAGTTAAAAGGAGAGTTTCACATGACATATGGAAAAGAAAAAACACCGCATTAACATTTCCTATAAGAGATGGACAGGCTTGGATAGAAGATTTTTAATGGATGAGATTGTCATTTGGAAAGTCAATTATTTCTTTTCCCTTTTGACCAACAATAACAATAAAAGACACTTCATGGATATAAAAAAAAAGGAAATAAATTAACCCCTAAGCATATGGCCCACAGTGATTTGACAGTAGCAAACTAGTGCAGCTTACAGCCCAAAGCTTCCAGCACCTGATACTGATTCCATAAGTCTCTCATCTCCAACTCGCAAGTGATGAAACACTATTTTGTGAAGCACATTAAATCGTGCCAAGGAATATAAACTCTACATTGAACTGATTTAAAGACAATGAAGAGATAGTCGATGAACAAAGGTTGACCAAAAGGTATCCTGTGTTTCCTTCTTTTTATATAAGGTATAGATAAAGTAAACAAAATATCTAATAAAAAATAGGGAAAATTACAGATAGGTACCCTATACTTTCGGGGTACTAACACTTGAGGGCCTAAACTTTCAAGTGTGACACCTGAGTACCTTGAACTTTTGGAAATATACATCCAAGTCCAACTGTTAGTATTTCATGTTATCTTGACCACATAATGTCATGTGCACTTTTAAAACTTTTATAATCCCAAAAATATTCTTCTCTTAAAGCTCTCACCCCGAACGAAGCTGAGACAAGAAAATAATGCCAGAGAATTTCTCTTTCTTCCTCCATCAAAGACTGATGAAGGTGAGGGATACTCCAGCATCCAGCGTGATATCAATCAGTAAAAGATCTGAACATTCACAACACAAGCCGTAGCAGCTTGAATTTCCGGCTGTGTGAGAGATCCACCATGAGGAATCTCTGGTGGGTTTTCCGGAAAATTGAACTTGTCATTCCGACCATGTAAGCAAAAGAGGGCAGCATCAAAGGCCCGAGCGATCTTTTGGGTGGTGCCATAGGATCCCAACAAAAATCATCTCACGGTTGTTGGGTGGCCGAATTTCTGAAACCCATTTGCCCCATTTTCACCATCAGCTGTTGACGAAATGCCTCTAAATTTACTGGTACAATTGTTTCCGCTGGAAAAAGGGATTTTTCTCAGGTGTCAAGTCTCTGGTTAGTGAGGGTGAAGAAATGACGGCTATTCTATATATATACTGTAGGTGAGTCTTCAGTGTTTTTGTTTGTGGGTTGACCTGTGTCTTCATGGAAAATCTTTTCAGCTAGAGAAATTGGCTTGGAATTTGATTACTGTGTTTCTAGGAGAATAGAAATTAGAGCACCACCACCCATTTGCACATTTGGGCTGTAAAGGGATTCTCAAGAAGTGGTGATTTAGGATTGCACCTTAAAAATTCAATTTAAACAGATATTTATATTGTTGTAATCAAACAATCTCTGTATGTTTTTCTGTGTTTCCTACAAAACCAGTTTGCAGCTTTGTCTCCCCCAAAAGAATTAAGGATGAATCACTCACTGAAATTTTGATCACCTAGCTCACAATTACTGTATTTAAGTTTCTTCATTTAACAACCCTTTCCAGATCCCATGGAAAAAAGTAGTCATCATCCCAGTTGTGAACATTATGTTTGAAAACTAACTCCTCTTCTTCTGCATTAATTTCAAGGCACTGAAAATACTTGAAAGAATGAAAGAGATCCTTCCTTTTCACTAAGGCTAAATCTAGACTTCAGAACTGTCTGATAAATAGTGACGATCCAAACTGTTTAGAAGTTGACGCAGGCAGGAAGACTCAGGGCATTGAGTCCATGGTTTTCAAAACCGGACCCGACCGGACAGTTGGACCAGAAAAACTGGGAACCTGTCACCTGATTGGTTCCGTTTTACCCCAGAACCGTCATTTTGGCCAAAAACAGCAAATCACTGACCCGGGCGGTCGAACCATTCGAACCGTCCAGCGGTTTTTGGCCATTTTTTTAAAATTTTTTTGTCAGAACAGGCCGTCTGTTCAGTTCGAACGGCCGGACCATTTGATCCGGGAACTGGACCCCTAAACGGTTCGTTGTCCGGTCCAGTTTTAAAAACGTTGATCGAGTCAAGTAATAAAGGAGGATGAAAGAAGATATCATCTTATAAAATGGGAACAGGTATGCAAACCTAAAGAATTGGGAGGACCTGGAATTGGGAATTGAACAAAGAGAAATACAGGTCTACTAGGAAAATGGCTCCAGAGATTTCCTTTAGAAAGAGATAGATTGTGGCACAAGATCATTGGAAGCATTCACGGTATGGCAGAAAATGGTTGGGAGGCAACTTTGGCAACAGATACTTCTTCAGATGGAAGAATTTGGTTCCCTTCACCTAATGGCCTTTTCTCTTGTGCTTCCTTCTTTAGCATTCTTGTCTTGCCAGAGCCTTTGGGGGAAATTTTCCCGGTTAAAGAAATCTGGTGCAAACCTATCCCCTCCTAAAGTACAAGCTTTGTGTTGGGAAGTGCTCCATGGGAAGATCAACACTTGTGATTCGCTACAGAAAAGAAGGCCAAACAAATGCCTTTCTCCTCATGTGTGTATCCTTTGCAAGGAAAGTGGCTAAACCCTTCCCCATTTAATTGTTACATGCCCTTTTGTTTCTTGTATATGGAAATATGTTTCTTCTCTCTTTGGTTGCAGATGGGATCCTCAATAGGATGCAGTAGACCTATTCAATTCTAGTTTCTTAAGGCAACAAAAGAAGAGAGGCAGAGTTATGTGGAGGACAGCAAGAGCAGCGCTGATCTGGACTGCATAGGAAGAAAGAAATCAGAGAATCTTTAATGAGAAGAGCAAATCAAAGGAGGAACTGTTTGAAAACGTAACAGTAAAAACAGCACATTGGGTAAAAACTTTGGATCTCTTTCAAGACTTCTCAACAAATGCCATAATAAGATCCCGGACTGAAGTGGAACGAACAGTTAAACCTGCAGAAAGTGTAAGAGTGGTTTGGAAACCTCCATCTTTTAACAAACTAAAGGTTAACTTTGATGGTAGCTCAGTGGGTAATCCAGGAAGGGCAGGAATAGGTGTTTTTAGAAACCACGAAGGAGTGGTGGTGGCATTATTTTCAAGACCAACTGGTTTTGGAGATTCAATATAAGTGATGGCTCTCTTACATGGGATCAAGGCTTGTTGTACAATTTGGAGCAAGGGAATTGGAAGTGGAAGGAGATCCTCTGTTAGTCATATCTTGGTCCAAGAATATCATATCAGCTCCATAGAAATATAAACTTGCTTTTAGGGAGATCGACACCTTGGCAAAGAGATTCAATTCCACTTTTGGGTGGATAAGAAGGTCAACAAATGGAATGGCAGATGTATCGGCAAAGCAAGGAGCTCATAGAGATGGATTGTTTTGGACTAAATTGTAATCTAATGTATTTTGGGATGTTGGGACCTTATTAGCCTTTTGGGGATTTCTTTGTAACTATAATTTGATTAGCTCTTGGGGATGGCATCCCTGTCATAATATTATACTGCTACAGCTTTCTTTAAATCTAATAAAATAAATTCTTTTGCTAATCAAAAAAATGAAAACGAGGAAGCATTCACAGGGGAGAGGGAGGAAATGAAAAGCATGAAGTCTTCTGAAAGAAACTTGGAGTTAGAGAGAGATGAAGGGATTGAGGTAATGAAGGAGAAAACTATTGACAGTGGGGGGAAGGATGAGAGAAAAGGAAGTGCTCACGAAGTGATTGGAGCAAAGCAGGGAGGGGGAGAGGGAAAAAGGAGGGAATAAAGCTGATCACAATGATATTATCTTTGAGAGGGAAGAGTTGATATGATAAACTAGTAGAGATAGACAGGTGGCAGTTGGAAAATCTCTTGGCATTTTCCTTTTGGGGGGAGAAGCAGTTGTGAGGAAGGCAATCGAACAATTTGAACAAAATAAAAGGCAGAAAAGTAACAAGATAAGTACAACTGGGGAAGGGTGAGAAATGGGAGGAAGGTGAGGAAAGGAGTTAGATTTCGTTGATGAAGAGTGAAGGGAGATGTGGGTATTCAATGCAGGTGAGAGGGTGAGGTATGGTCCATATGGATGTCTGTGGTTGCTCTATGTTGGTCTCCGGGCTCAGTTGGTTTGTTCTAGAGGTTGCTTCTACTATTGGGTCACTAGTTTTTTTTTTTTTTTTGTTGATCAGCAACACAAAAAAAAAATTGATTTATTAATTTTAAAAAGGAGTACAACAAGGAGTTGTGGGAAAAGAAAAAGCCCAAAACTCAATTCCAATATTTACAAAACAGCCCAAAACATGGATTGTCTCTGAATTCCTTGTTTAGCTAATCCATCCGCCATGCTGTTTGCAGATCCCCTAATCCACTTTATTTGGATTATCATGTCCTTAGAAATCTGCTTGAAGCATCTG